TCTTGGGGAGAAGCAACCTGTCACTGAACAGACTCTTCTGTTACATGACAAACTGGTTAATGTCAAGCAGAATAAAGAAGCCAGTGCATAGAAAAATGCAGCGTGAGTGTAACCCAAATAAGGTGGAAGAAAGAGGGCTGAGGCTCACAGACTAGAGTGCATCTAAAGACAGGCTTGTGTTCAGCTGGCGTAGCAGCAGAAATGACCCCATCACCATGAACATTTGCATCCTGCTAAGTTCCTCCTGATCGTTTACAGGTTGCGAGACTGATGCAGCCTTCAGTGATCTGGATCGAAGATGCAGAGAAAATGTTTTACAGGAAAATCCCCAAAGAGGAAAAAGAGGTAAAGCAGACAAAGGGATTGTCGTTGTGTACAAATGTTGTAAAGCTGATTTTTCCATGTGGTTAATAGTTGGACCCTAAGCGGCTGAAGAAAGATTTGCCCAAGTTCCTGAAGCTGATCAAAGGGGAGGATCGCGTTCTGATCATAGGAACGACTCGAGACCCGCACAGCGCCGAGATCAAGTCTCTGTGCAAAATGTTCAGCAAAATCCTCCTCATCCCAAGACCTGACTACGGCTCAAGACGCAGTAAAGACAATTAAACGTCATGTTTTTGTAATGAATGTAACGATATTTCAACGACGTTGGTGTTAAACTTGACTCTGTTTGCCTTCAGTCCTGTGGAAGCAGCTGATCAGAAAACACGGAGGTGAAGGGACCGAGGCGTTGGACCTCAGTTCTCTGGCAAAGATTTCTGACGGCTATACTCCAGGACACATCGTCCAAGTGATTCAGAGCGTTCTTACCAAACATCGAGTCTTCCAGCAGGCAAAACGACCGCTGACTGCAGCTGAGTTTATCGCCCCGCTAGCCCAGATTGACCCCGTGTTCCAGGAGGAGGAGGAGGCCCTGAAGGTAACGTGGATGTCTTTGATGTAAAGAGTAACTCAACGACAGGCTGACAAGCAGAATATTGAAGCCCGCTTTACTCTGGCTAAAAATAGACTAAAAGTACTGCGGATCACTTTATATAAAGGTTAGACACGAGATTATTAGAGGTTGTTAAGTTACTCTTTAGGATTTGCTTACATTTACATTCTTTGACAGTATTGTTGTCACTGACATTAAAATCATAGAAGGATTTCTTTTTCCAACAGAGCTGGTATGCAAAGACGCCCCTGGGAAAGAAGAGAAGTAAAGCTGCGTCAGGAAAGGAAGAAGAAGAACCAGCTAAAGACAAAAATACCAAGAAGAAAGGAAAAAAATGATCTTTTATTTGTTGTCTTTTACTGAAGTGTGTGAGTTGTACCCTCAGTGAGGCTGACGCTGTCCTGCGTCAGTAACACACATTAAGCTGCAGTCCCTGTGTTTGCAGCCACATCAGTGAAGTTTCTCTCTTGTGCAGGAGTTACCTGTGAACAGAACGCAGTCGTTTTCAAATCATTAGCATCCTACATTTTATTGAATGCAGTAGTTTGATGATTTTCAATTTTATGTCAGTAAAATGTTTCCAAAACGTTGGGAGGTCTTTTTTTCAGTATGCACGTGGGAACGAGGACGCCCACTTCTGCAGTGCGTTCGCTTTTTCTGCGTTTCGCTCGCTTGGTGTCGGATTTTATCCTCTCAGCTTTGTCATGTTTGTTTGGGTGGATGCCAGGCCGAGACTGTGGGCTTCCATACAAAGAAGAAGATCTAGATGCAGGTTCTTCATCCTTACTTCTGAATGGCCTGTTCTCTCTGAGGTGCAGTTTGTATATATATGTAAATATGACCCTTGACCTGTCAAACTGGTGGCTGTAGCTGTGAGACTGAAGGCTAAGCTGTTATTAGATGTGCCAAGGCGGCTCAGTCAAGGACATTTAATGTTCAGGCTGTGGCTTCCTGGCTGTAGCGCTCAGTTATGAAGGTTAAGGAGATCCTCTTTTCTTTAGGTGTCACACACAAAGCCAGAGTAAAATTCATTTCCAGGGCACCGAGATGACGACAGGAGCCACATTTTAAATAATCACAGCGTGCTGCAGAGTCCTACAGTGTGCTCTTTGTTATTGCCTCTGTGTGGTGCAGAGAGTCAGGCTCAGAAGAAATGCCAAACACACGAGGGGGAGTGTTTCCAACATGATCCAGAGGCTTAGTTCAGCTGTTTCGTCAAGTTCTAAATTCCCTCGGCAGATCTTCACATTGACTTGGTTCCTTTACCGTGACTCTATTTTTAGAGTTTGCGCACAAAGATCCACATTTCATCATGCAAAGCTCGTCTGTTGGACATCTTCACAGGATCAAGACATCAGAGGCTGCTCGTCTTTCATCTTCAGAAACAGCGACAGCCTTCGAGTCAGAAATACAACGAAATATTTGTTCCTACACCGACTCGATATTTTACCTGTTAAACATTGCAATGAATGAGCTTCTGTAAACTGAGACTGGCTTCTGTGGACCACCGTTCTCCTTCGCAGTGATGACAGGTTATTTTCTGTGCCGCACAGAGATAATCTCTGCTGATACAGTTTCACTGGCACATGGGACTGTCTGTCAGACTGAGGTTTACACAATGCTGCCTGGCTCTGGCTTTCTTCTTTTTGATGAGGGATTCCCACAAATCTGAGCTACGTAAAAATGGTTAAAACAATAGCATAAAGGCTGAAGCACGGTTGGCTGCTGGGCTTTGACCGTCTCATTGTAATGTTTCCTGTATTTGGTTTTTGGGGCATACTGAGCTTTTCAGATCCCAGATGCAGCCACACAGACCATAGTTGTGGTCAAAAGGTTACATACAGTAATCACGGACATGAATGTCAGAGTAATTTGAGGTTTTAATGATTTCTTTGAACTTTTAAAAAACAAGAATTGGTGCACAAGTTTGGATTTATTCTGTTTTCCTTAACCCCCGCCCCAAATAACATTAGGTTAAATGTCCCTTAGCAAAATCTATCCAACCATCGTGAAATTGAGGATTTTGGAGGGTCTCCTTCTTAGGGCCTCCAGTACTACTCACAGCAAAACAGCCCCAGAGCACAATGCTACTACCACCATGTGTACGCCTGCAAATTTCAACTGCACTTTAAGGCTTCGATTATGGAGCAGTGGCTTCTGTCTTGGTCGGGATCCTCTCAGTCTGTGTAAAACTTGTTTTGACTGTGGACAGTGACGCTGGTGTTCCAGCGGTTTCGAGTTCATGACACACTTTAACCCTGGTGGTTTCTGGGCTGTTCCTGAACATCCTCTCAGCGGAGGGCGACAGCTTGGCTGGTCTTCCTCAGCAAAGTGGTGACATATCCAAATAACTGGTACTTTTGTCCAGTTGTTTGTGTTTGATCTGCAGCTGTTCTGATGTAGCTCTGTGATGCTTCTCTGATGGACCGTCCCAAAACCCCAACTTCAAATTTACTGACTATGTTTAAAAGCTGGTTCTGCACCAGGAAACCCACCAGGCCGTGATGAGTGGTGAAATATGCAGCCAGAGTTATGCCCGAGGCTCCAAAGGTGTCTTATGAAGGTGGGACTTGATTTGATTTTACATGTGCGTATGTATGCTTTGACCCTGTGTGGATGACAGAAAATCCTACATTCAAACTTGTTTTGTAACGATTTTAAGGACGTATGCATCTTTCATGACCTTTTAGCATTAACAGTGGAAGAAACCACCTCTTTCCTGTTACCTGTTTGACGTCTGTATCTGTAACAGGTTTTAGACACTGTGGCACCCAATGTATATACTATATCTATCTATATAATAATAATGGATTGGATTTATATAGCGCTTTTCTAGGCACCCAAAGCGCTTTACAATACCACTATTCATTCACTCTCACATTCACACACTGGTGGAGGCAGCTACAGTTGTAGCCACAGCTGCCCTGGGGCAGACTGACAGAAGCGAGGCTGCCATATCGCACCATCGGCCCCTCACCAGTAGGCAAGTAGGGTAAAGTGTCTTGCCCAAGGACACAACGACCAGGACAGAGAGCCCAGGGATCGAACCGGCGACCTTCCGGTTACAGATGCGATTCCCAACCCCCTGAGCCACGGTCGCCCTATATATATCTATATCTATATATATACACCCCCCCCCCCAAATTTTTTTGCACATGTCAGGCTACATGTCACTGTGTGTTATACTTGTATAACTATGCATGTGACAAATAAAGAACCTTGAACCTTGAACCTTGAACATGTGGGTCGGGGTTGTACGGAGCAGGCGATTAAACCCCATCAGCCTCATGGTGCAGAGACTCGTCTGATGCTGTTCGGTCATTTTGGTCTCATTGTTGAGAGAAAATGCTGCAGACCTTCTGATGCAATACAAAGGTTGCTTTAAAATAAGGTGAATCTACGTTTTGTTGTCATGTTTCTAAGCTGGTCAACCCCTCATTGATGCACGGTGGAAAACCATCAGAGACACTGGGACCACTGTTTACATTCTGATTGTTTTTCATGGTTCCAGTGATGTCGAGCATATGGTGCCTTGCACCATTAAAGCCAAAGCTATCTTTGCCCTCATACTGACAGAAGGCTATTTTGGAGGTTAGTGTGTGGGGAGAGATATGTCAGCTGTTCAGCACTATGCTCCATAACAGCAGGAAAAAAAGAGAAAGCACTATAGCCTGTCAACTTTGGGAACTGGGATGCACAAGGAGGCATGAACACGCTCTTTGGTGGATTAAATGCATCTTGTTAACCTTAAAGGCTCTGTGAGAAACAGCACAGCACTCCCAAAGGATCAGTGGCCACGCTGGAGGTTTCATCCAGCTCGTGTTTGCTTTGGATAAAGTAATTTTGCTTTTTTGAAACAGGTGCAGAAACAGTGCATGCAGGCATGTGTTCGTCCTATAGATCACCTGCTTAGTTTGAGAGCTGGTGCATTGGTGCAGGTAAGCTTATGTATTCTTCGTTAATTTGGAAATGTGTATAGAAATGATATTTTTTATTTTTGCAGTTGAATATAGCCAACAAGAAACCCTGTTGAATAGAGTATCACTGGAATATAGTTGAATTATATTGCAGAGTTGTATTAAGCTGGTTTGCTGTATTGCTCTGAAAGGATTTCAGTTTTTATTTCTCTGGTGTTTATTTTGCAGAATAGATTTTAATAGGCTTATGATAAAATATTAGGTAATCTAGATAACTGGTTCCAAAGACAGTGGCGTGTGTGACGCATCATAAAATACCATTTTAGCTGTAGGTAATGTAATGGAGCAGACTGGCCTATGCTTGGAGCGCTGCTGGGAGGAGCTGGCGTGTTTGATGATCTCAAATATCATATCAATCGGTCGATCGCTTGTTGGCTTTTCAGAGCTTTCCCTTCCTCTGAGTTCAGCTCATGTTGCCTTATGGAGTTTTGATCACAGCTGAGTCTATATTGGTGGGGATGAACTCAGCCAAGTGCGGTGACAGAGATTACTCTGCTCTTCATTACTGACTGGCACGCCATCACAGGGATCAACAACATGAGACACTGATGCCATGTATATCAGTTTGATGGGGTTACCATTTTGGACGTTGTGGTTTGATGGTTAGCCTGAAAGGAATTAATCTGTTTTTGCAATGATGTCCAAAAGATTTAAGCACTTATGCAGAAATCAGTAATGTCTGTACCCCTGAACTGTGAGCTGAATGAGTTCGTGGAAAAGCTGATTTCTCTTTTTGTAACACGGTTAGACAACATATCATGACTCAGGGTCACCTCGGGTACGTTTGTATTTGCAGCCTGCTGACTGTGATAGAAAACAAACTTCTCCAGCCAAGAACAAGAGACATGGGAGACAATAAGCCTGGAGGAATAGTAGCAGCTGCAAGTATGTTTATTTCTAAATGCATTTGTGCTTTTTCAACAGAGTTCTCACCATGAGTCAAAGGCCTTTAGGCCTCTAACGCCGCCTGTGTGTGTGTGTTTGCCAGAGAACCGTCTGCAGGTGGTGAAGGGATTGGATGACGCAGAGGTCTCAGAGTGTGAGAGCTGCTCCTTTGAGGTATCTCTTAACCTAGCCTACATAGAGGGCGTGTGGATGAGGGATGGGACGCAACTCAAATCTAAACCCAACTGTCGCATCAGCACACACGGGAAGAAACACTCCCTCTTACTGAACAGGGTGGCTTTGGGAGATGCCGGTTTGTTCTCCTTCCAAGCTAATGGCATTCAGACCTCAGGCCGACTCACTGTCAGAGGTAATGTGACAGAACTACTTGCATGCTCACAGGATTGAATGTTTTTATATGGCCCAGACCATCTCTGTGTTAGATCCCAAAATCAGGTCAGTGACTTTCTCCGGGGCTTCGATAACCTGAACCACTAACTCGAGGTTCATACGTGTCTTTAAGAGGCTGTAGTTTCTGCAGTGAAGTGCATGCTGTAGTTGAAATGTCCAACAACTGCTGGACTTGGACAGACGGTGTTAATCAGTGTTATGAACCCAACAAAGCTATGGAACCGCAGAACATACAGTCACAGCGCACCGTCTTTCATTTTAGTTCGTTCAGGCGATCGTTGCTCAAGAGTTGGGAGTTCGTCTTGTAATCGGAAGGTTGCCGGTTCGAGCCTCGGCTCCGACAGTCTCGGTCGTTGTGTCCTTGGGCAAGACACTTCACCCGTTGCCTGCTGGTGGTGGTCAGAGGGCCCGGTGGCGCCAGTGTCCGGCAGCCTCGCCTCTGTCAGTGCGCCCCAGGGTGGCTGTGGCTACAATGTAGCTGCCAATCACCAGTGTGCGAATGTGTGTGTGAATGTGTGGATGACTGAATATGTAAAGCGCTTTGGGTCCTTAGGGACTAGTAAAGCTATACAAATACAGGCCATTTAGTTCAATAAATAAATAATGATATGGAGTAATATGTCAGATTGCAGTTAGCCAATATTTTAGTGGCAAAAAGCTCTCTTTGGTTACTTTCACTAAGTTTCGAGTCATAGTGTGGATATTTCCTGCCAGCTAGGGACATTCACATCGTGAAGGAGCTGGAAGATGTCGACACAGTCGAGCGTCAACCTGTAACCTTCGTGTGCGAGGTCAGCCAGATGGATGTGGATGGTCGGTGGTACAGAGATGACTGCCGGATCCGTCCTGGGGACAGCATCAAGATCAGACACCAAGGTAAAAGATCAGTTATCTTAGCAGTAGGCCTTATTTTGGGGGAGCTATCCTTATAGTTGCTTGAACTGATGAGCTTCAGTCATTGGTACCTGAACCATAAGGGGAACTCTGAGAATTAACCGAGGAAAAGGTAATAAGCAGAATAAAATACTGGGTTTAATGTGATTTCAGGTGAAACTCATTCTCTGTCCTTCAAGTCAGTCAGACCAGAACATGCAGGAGAGATCAGGTTCACGGCAGAGCGGGTCTCATCCTGTGCAACCCTCACGGTACAAGGTGAGCCCCGAGATTCATACCTCACACTGGGCATGAAGGAAATCCTGATGAACACACAAGAAATAGCTCTTATAAAACAATAAAGATCATAAAACCTGAGTTTATTCTTCCACTCTCAGAGCTTCCAGTCCAAATAGTGCGTCCTCTAAGAGTAAAAATCGCCATGTATCGCCACAGAGGTCTGCTAGAGTGCCAGGTGTCACGGCCTAACGCTGAGGTCAGGTGGTACAAGAACAGGAAGGAGCTACTTCCCAGCAAGAAGTATCAGCTAATCAGCCAGGATATCTACAGGCAGCTTGCTATCAATGACGTCTGCTCGTCAGATGAAGACACCTATACATGTGACGCACAGGATGATAAAACCTCCTGCCAGCTTCTGGTGGAGGGTGAGGTTCCCACACTTATGAAATCAAACTATGATGTCAGGAGCTGTGCAGTAGAGGTAATATGTATTATGCTGTACGTGCAGAGCAGGCTATCACCATAGTGCGGGGGATGAAATCGGTGGAGGTGATGGAGCCAGAGCCTGCACGATTCCAGGTAGAGACCAACTTGAAATCAGGGAGGCCACCAAAGTGGACGCTGAACGGTGAGGTCATGGAGCCATGCGCGGCAGTGGACATTGACAGGGAGGCCACCCTCCACAGCCTGTGCTTCACCTCCACAGAAAGCTCCATGTCAGGCCCGGTGGTCTTTGTCGCTGGCAAGAGTCGTTCCACCGCTCAGCTTACGGTTAAAGGTGAATCGCCCACACCGCCTCAAGCTGATAACATGGTATTCGCCAGTGAAATAATGGAAACACGCTGCTGAACAACTAAACCTGTCTCCCCTTTTAGAGCGGCCTCTTCAGGTCGTCCACCACTTGGATGACGTGGAGGCAAAAGAGAGCAGCTCTGTGACTCTGAGCTGTGAGTTCGCCCCATCTCCCAGGGTGGTGCGCTGGTTTAAGGGCCGCACAGCTCTGAAATCCTCTAACAAGTACAGCATGAAGAGGGAGGGGAAACGAGCAGGGCTGACCATCCACGGCCTGACGGGGATGGATGCGGGACAGTACCACTGTCTGGCTGGAGGGTCACAGAGCTCGGCACACGTTAAAGTAGAAGGTAGGTTCAGTGTGATGCAAACGTTAATATGAAGCCTTTTCAGGACACGTTGATGAATTGAGCCTTTGTATTGCAGTGCGGACGCTGAAGTTGATCAAACACCTTGAACCGGTGGAAATTGAGGAGAATGGCGTCGCCACTTTCTCGTGTGAACTCAACTACGTGGTGGCCAATGTGGAGTGGCTCCTCAATAATGTCCGGCTCTATTCCAACGCCATCAACAAGATCCACCACATGGGCACCATGCACAGCCTCACAATCAAAAAGCTTCGGCCACAGGAGAGCAGGGTTACCTTCAAAGCGGGCCTTCTCACTGAGACAACCACCTTAAAGGTCAAAGGTCAGTGACAGAAGGAGTTGCTTAAATTTCTCAGAAACATAAATTGCAATGATAACAACACAAAGACTAACCTGTAATGTGTCCCAGAATGCCCAGCAGTGTTCCTGAGGCCTCTGGAGGATGCAGTTGGAGAGGAGCAAGGGGAGCTTTGTCTTCAGTGTGAGATTTCCAAAGAGACGGCGAGCCCTGCTTGGAAGAAGGACGGTGTAGTTCTGACAGCTGATGACAAACACGAGCTGCTCCAGTTTGGGAAGTCCATGGCTTTGATCATCCATTCACTGAGCAAGGACGATGCAGGACAGTACACGTGTGATCTCGGCACAAGTCAGACCAAAGCCAAAGTCACAGTACATGGTGAGTAGAGATGGACCGATCCGATACGTAATATCGGATCGGTCCATCTCTAACGGTGAGTAGAAGAAGAAACGCCATTTCTAATAAGCTCTCAAACCACAGGGTAAATTGTTTTATGCGAGTTTATCAGTAAAAGCTCTTGTATTTCTGAAACCATTTAAGAAGTTAAATAAGGTCATTATTCCTTTACTCTGCACCATGTTTAATGAGTGTTGGTGGCATTAAACCTTTCTGAGCTCTCATCCACAGTTAGTATCGCATTCAGCTGACATATGTGGTCATTCACTGATTGTATTTATTTACAGACTTACACATTACAATTGTCCAGCGTTTGAAGACGACGGCTGTCCTCGAGGGAGACGCCTGCACTTTTGAGTGTCTTCTCTCCCATGATCTTGACGATAAACCTTCCTGGACCATTAACGGCCAGCTCATGGCTACCAACAGCCGTATTCAGCTCACCAACAGCGGCCGCATGTATACGATGACAGTTAGAGATGCGTTACTTACTGACGCTGGAGATGTGGTCTTCACCATTAAAGATCTAACCTGTAGGACCATGCTTTTTGTTCAAGGTACATAATCTTTCCTAAGATATGGTCACGCCTGGAGAGTTTATACACATTATACATATCCTACACTGTAAGTTGTTTCAAGATGTTGAGCGAGCCAATGTGCCCTTTCTCACACAGAGAAGCCAGTGCACATCTTCAGGGACTTGTTGAACGTCAAGGCCGTGCCTGGTGAGGATGCAGAGCTGAGCTGTGAAATCACCAAACCAGAAGTCACCATCCGTTGGCTGAAAAACGGGCGTCTGATCAAGGAGAGCCCCAAGTATGAGATGAGCGTGGAGAAACATCTGGCACGGTTGGTGATCAAAAGCACCACTATCCGAGACTCTGGAGAGTACTGCTGTGAGGCCGAAGGCGTGGCCTCCCGTGCCAAGCTTGAGATCAGAGGTAGCCTCGATTTGACTTTTCATTCATTCTTGGTTTTATAAAGGTAGCAACCATTTACAGGTAGCGGTAAAACACAGGCTGCAGCAGATTGAAAGGATCGATATTGTCTCCACGCTTATATGTCTTTGGGCTTTTCATGGCTGGATCGGCTTTACTAAGCTGCCTTTTCATTTCAGAGTTACAGCACACATTTGCCAGGGAGCTGAAAGACACTCGAGCAGAAGAAAGAGGAAAGGTGACACTCGAGTGCGAGACGAGGCAGCCAGCCAAGCGTGTGACCTGGCTGAAGGGCTTGATTGAGCTGCGGCCTGGAAGGAAGTATGTCATCAGGCAGAAGGGCGTGGTGCTGTCGCTCGCCATCACCTCACTGGAGAAATCGGACACAGATATTTATATATGTGACGTTGGCACCATGCAAAGCCGGGCACAGCTGACTGTGCAAGGTGAGCGTGGATCATTTAAATCAAACTGGGCCATAGCAGGCAGTGATGGAAAACACTGTAAAACAAAGGAACCAACACACTGGGAGAAATGCCAATACGATGAGTGCTGCAATGCAACGTTTATCATTGCTGAGTAAAATGTTTGGTAAAAATCTAATGGTGCTGATCGGGTCATGTATGCTGCAAGTTTGTCAGAGTTTTGTCTTTTCCGTCTCGCAGGTCAGAAGGTGGTGATTCTGGATGAACTGGAAGACGTTGAGTGTCTGGAGGGGGACACGGTCACGTTCAGGTGTCGTATCTCTCCCAGTGACTACGCTGGGGCCAAGTGGTATTTGGATGAGACTTTGCTTTATACCAACGAGCTCAATGAGATCCAGGTGCTTTCAGGAGGCTTCCACACCCTGACGTTTAAACAGCTGGCCCGTAAAGACACCGGCACCATTTCCTTCGCAGCAGGGGACAAAAGATCGTACGCCTCGCTGTTGGTTCGAGGTAAAGCTGAGATCTTTGGGTTTTAACGTGTATTTTTTGTCACATCTTACATGTGCTGTGCTTCATCTGCTCATGACACCAGAAAGGCGTCCCACCATTTGTAAGTCACTTGAGGACTGCGAGGCCATCGAAGGAGGTGGTTTGATTTTGTCCTGTGTGACCTCCAAGCCGTGTCACATCCTGTGGTACAAAGATGGCTGTCTCATGTGGAACTCCTCAAGATACTTTACCAGTCGCTTGGGGTGCGAAGCTCGGCTGACCATTCGAGAAGTTTGCAAAACAGATGCAGGAGTGTACGAGTGCAGTGCTGGCTCTGTTACAACCAGGGCCGCGGTCGCTGTCAAAGGTACCAATAGGGATTTATTTGTCACGTGCTTGCTGTGGGTTGAACATTTCTGGTAGATTGTATATGATTACATTGGAGAAATTATAATAAGCAAAGACCTCCTCATTGTCACTCCTAGCCATCCCAGCAGAGTTCATCCACCATTTGAAGCATGTGGAGGCCAAAGAAGGAGAAGCTGTCACCCTGACCTGTGAGTACTCTCTGCCTGGGGTCCACGTCCACTGGAAGAAAGGTTTTGAGAGCATCAGGCCAGGAGACAAGTACGTGATGAAACAGAGGAAGACGATAAACTCTCTGACCATCAAAGCCCTGAAACCCGAGGACGCTGGACAGTACTCATGCCAGTGCAGAGACCACCACACTACAGCAAGTCTCAAAGTACACGGTAAAGTCTTCATCACACTACAAACTCACCTGACACAGCTTTACCAAAAACTTTGGCATTTACAACATGTTTCACATCCATTGCGAGCTCATGCAAGTATAAAAGGAGCAGTGAGAAATACAGACGCATGCAACATGCAATAACTTACTGTGCACTGATATATGGCAGTTGGCCACACACAGGTACAGCTGCTAATGCAATAAACTATCACACAAGCTTTTATCCTCTTTTATTCACGTCTATGATGTCACTCCTTATTTTCCAGCTGTTCCTATCACATTCATACAACAACTCAAGAATATGCAAGCAGAGGAGGGCAGCAGCGTCATACTGCGCTGTGAAATTTCCAAACCTGGGATCCCGGTAGAGTGGAGGAAAGAGGATGAGGTGCTGAAGAACAGTGTGAAGTACCAGATAAGGAAACGGGAGACCACACGGGAGCTCCTCATATGGAAACCTGTGCCCGAGGACGGTGGGGTCTACAGCTGTGTGTGTGCTGATCAGATGACATCTGCCACTGTCAGGATTACTGGTAGGACTTTATTTACCAACGAGCTGATAAAGGAATATGAGGCCATCTGTGATTGTTTATCTGGTCTTAATGGGTTTCTCAGCTCTCCCAGTCACCTTCAAGCAGAAGCTGAGGAACGTGTTGATAGAGGAGGGCAACACTGCCACGTTACGCTGTGAGCTCTCCAAACCCGGTCAGTCGGTGGAGTGGAGGAAAGGCGGGGATGAACCGATTAGAAATGGAGAGAAATGTCACGTACGACAGAGAGACATGCTCGTCGAGCTGAGGATCTTTGATGCGACCCCCGAGGACAGCAGCATCTACACGTGCATCTGTGGAAACGTGGAGACCACCGCCACTCTGACTGTTAATGGTAACTTATGTTCTAGTGTTTTCTGTGTATCTGGCAGGTACAGGCAGTCACACATTTGAAACCCACACATTACGGCTTTAATTAATTACCTCAGTGAATTTCAGAGCAGACCCGTGAAAGAAGGACGTGCTGCATGTTTGTTTTCAGGCGCTTCACTTATCTCGTCCACTTACTTTGCCTTTCAGCTCTTCCCATCGTCTTCAAACAAAAGCTAAAAAATGTACAAGTCGAGGAAGGACACAACATCACGCTGTGTTGTGAGATCTCTAAACCTGGTGTCCCAGTGGAATGGAGGCTCGGAGGAGATCTGCTTGAGCACGGAGACAAGCACCAGATAAAACAGAGGGGCTCGGTCCTGGAGCTGAGCATCAGAGATGCCGTACCAGAGGACAGCGGTGTCTACACATGTGTGTGCCGAGAGCAGAGGACAAAGTCTACGGTTAAAGTTATTGGTGAGTTTACTCTCGGTGCCACATCTCGTTATTACTTAGCCCTGCTAAATGAGGCCTGCACCGTCTGACCTTTGCTCAGGTGTCACAGACCCAAATGCTCACACTAGCAAACTTCCATCGTTGCTGCTTCTGTCAATTCAATTCAATTCAATTCAATTTTATTTATATAGCGCCAAATCACAACATAAGTCGCCTCAAGGCGCTTCATAGATACAGATAAAAAAACCCAACAATCATATCCCCTAAGAACAAGCACTTTGGCAACAGTGGGAAGGAAAAACTCCCTTTTAACAGGAAGAAACCTCCGGCAGAACCAGGCTCAGGGAGGGGCGGCCATCTGCTGCGACCGGTTGGGGTCACACTTCCTGAGGATCAGTTCGTTAAGCACATCACCTGGCTGCTACTTACCTTCTTTATCTCTGTGGAAGCAGTGACGGTAAACGTTGCTTTTCAACGTACTGCACAGAGACCTGAGAAAAATGTCTTTTCACTGAACTTTGACCTGTAAATCATATTTGTCTCGTTCTTGCCTTTGTTTTACTTCACACATATAAAAACATATGTGCCTGCTTTGACAGCGATCCCTGCGACATTTAAGGTGAGCCTGAAGAGTCAGGTGGCCGAAGAAGGGAGCAGCGTGACGTTGCAGTGTGAGCTGTCAAAGAAGGCAGTCCCGATTCAGTGGCAGAAGCAGGGGCAGCTGCTCTCTGAGGAGGGATCTCGGGGAAAGTATCGCACAGAGCTCGAAGGAAAGACGGCTAAACTGACCGTTTTAAACATCCAACCGGAAGACGCAGGAAAATACAGCTGCATCACAGGAGATGAGAAAACCACCGCTGAAGTCAAAGTGAAACGTACGTTTAAATCAGTTTGTGACCTTACCTGCATCGGTCCTGGCTATTTAACCTCTGTGCTACATGAAAAAGCAGAAATAAAGACTGAATAAGAAACAAATACAGCGGGTAGGTGTAAACGGCACTTTGCAAATTCAATCACCAAAAAAGATCCATTTTCCAACAGCACTTCCTGTAACATTTAAACGGGAGATCCGGAGCCTGGTGGTGAAGGAAGGGGACAGCGGCGTTTTCTGCTGTGAGCTCTCCAAACCTGGAGCTGCAGTCAGCTGGAGGAAAGGCAGAGTCGTTCTGAAACCTGGAGAGAAATACGAGATGAAACAGGACGGGCGCGTCACTAAACTGGTCATCAACCACGTGGAGGACAGCGATGCCGGCAAATACACCTGCAAGACTAAAGACAGCCAATCGACTGCTGAGCTCACAGTCGTAGGTGAGACGCACCCCCGACATCTGATCGTGATTTCATAAAGCACTCTTCTTCCTTCTTTTTGAATTTTGATGTCATTATTTAACAGAGTCACCCAAGCGCAGACGTCAAAGAGGTCAGCCACAAAATAGTCAGAATGAACTAAGTAGACCGTCATCACTGTGTGAACCCACTCATGTTTCCATATCGTCACCCAGTTTGTGTCACAGTGTGTCCTCTACTGTAAAGTCCTGCATCATTGAAGCCAAAGCTTCCTGAATCTTATTATGAGCAGCAGTCCATCATTTGTCTCATGCAGGCATCATGAGACAAACACAGCCTGGAATATAATGGATTAGAGTTTAATCCATTATAGCGCATATCGAATACCCGCGTCTCCTCTGTAGTAGCTTTGTAGCAGAGTGGACACTGGATACTGGATTTCTCCACCTGTAGTCGTGTTTTCCACTCATTGCTGAAGTTGTACCATAAACAACCCTCCTATGCTTTATGGATTTCAGTGTGACCTTTAATTTTATCTGTAATAATTGTTTATGCATTTTAAAATCACATCCCTTTAGTGCGCGACACGTGATGTTCTCTGTGGCTCTTGGTTTTCGTTAGAGTTACCGCCTAGTTTCAAGATACTGCTAGCCAATCAGGAGGTGACGGAGGGCAGCGGTGTGGTTCTGCGCTGTGAGCTCACCAAACCTGCGTCCGCGGTGGAGTGGAGGAGAGGAGGAGAGCTGCTGAAGAATGGAGACAAGTACCAGATGAGGAAAAAGGACCTGCAGGTGGAGATGAAGGTCGAAGACCTCTGTGTGGAGGACAGTGGAGATTATACTTGTATATGTGGAGAACAGAGGACAACAGCTGAGATCAGAGTGAATGGTGAGCGCTGCTGCTTTCACTGTAGCAGTGTCATGAAGCAACATTTAAAGATGAAGATGACGAACAGAAGTATGGTGACTCAAAAATGACGCAGTATATACATATATCTTTGTTTAAATCTATTTTATATGTCATTGACTTCATCTCAGTGTCTACCTGTCAGAGCTACAGCAGCATAAAGCTGACGTGCATTTCAGGATGTCTCCTCTGCTCTTTTCTAGAGCGGCCCATCAAATTTCTTCAAGACTTGAAGAATATTCAGGTGCAGGAGGGCGGTGTTGTTACACTGTGCTGTGAGCTGTCCCAGCCTGGGGTCCCCGTGCAGTGGACAAAGGGAGACACTGTCCTTTCAAACGGAGACAAATACCAGATCAAGCAGAGCGGCTGCATCCACGAGCTCCACATCAGGAAAAGCCTCCCCGAGGACAGCGGCACCTACAGCTGCACTTGTGATGAGATAAAATCCACGGCAACAACAATTGTTACTGGTGAGATGCGTTCAGCAACATCGTTCACGGGGCGATCGTGGCTCAAGAGTTGGAAGTTCGTCTTGTAATCGGAAGGTTGCCGGTTCGAGCCCCGACTCGGTCGTTGTGCCCTTGGGCGAGACACTTCACCCGTTGCCTACTGGTGGTGGTCAGAGGGCCCGGTGGCGCCAGTGTCCGGCAGCCTTGCCTCTGTCAGTGCGCCCCAGGGTGGCTGTGGCTACATGTAGCTGCCATCACCAGTGTGTGAATGGGTGGATGTGTAAAGCTTTGGGTCCTTAGGGACTAAGTGCTATACAAATACAGGCCATTTATAATTAAGCTTTAACAATCTACAAATGTTTTTGTAATGTTTCTGGCTATCACTCCTTAGCAATACCAGTGACCTTTAAGCAGAAACTGAAGAACCAGGAAGCTGTGGAGGAGGGCTGCGTGACCTTACGCTGTGAGCTTTCCAAAGCTGGAGTCCCCGTGGAGTGGAGGAAAGACGCTCAACTGGTGAAAGAGGGAGAAAAAATACAAACAAAGCAAGAAGGCCGAGTGGCGGAGATGTTAATCAGAAACGTAACTCTGGCAGACTCTGGCGAGTACAGCTGTTCTGTTGGGACTGTTGTGACATCAGCTGACATCAAAGTAAGAGGTAAGCTTCACTACAGCTGGGGTAGAGATACAAACTGTCCAGCTGGGACACAGGAGAAAACACCCAGCACTTCTTACTAACCACGGCAGATTTAGAAAATGACTTGTAATTTCAGATTTCACTCACTTTGTTTTCTTTTCTGTAGCACTTCCTGTTACATTTACAAAGGAGGTTGAGAATTTGGAGGTGAGGGAGGGGGACGGTGGCGTTTTCTGCTGTGAGCTCTCCAAACCCGGAGCTCCGGTGGACTGGAGGAAAGGCAGAGTGATTCTGAAGCCTGGATACAAATACGAGATGAAACAGGAGGGACGCGTCACCAAGCTGATCATCAACAACGTGGAAGAGAGCGATGCCGGCAAATACACCTGCAAGACTACAGACAGCCAATCCACTGCTGAGCTCACAGTTAGAGGTAAACCCAGCTCCCACACTAGAAACACTGAATCTGAAAGAATGAACTTTTATAAAAGTCAAATAACTCCATAACTCCTCTTTGGTGCTTCTTGCAGCGCCGCCGGTCACATTCAAGACTAAGCTAAGGAACCAGCAGGTGGAGGAGGAGAACAGCCTGACCCTGAGCTGCGAGCTGTCCAAGCCCGGCCTTGCTGTGGAGTGGCGGAAAGGAGAAGAGCTGCTGAGGAATAATTTCAAGCACCAGATGAAAAATCGAAACAGCGTCATGGAGCTGACGATCAAAAACGCACAACTGGAGGACAGCGGCCTCTACAGCTGTTTCTATGGAGATGTCAAGACTACAGCCAATGTCACAATCACACGTAAGCCAAGAGTGTAGATGTGAAAGTGTCTGGTTCATTCATGCTCCTAAAGCCTACGTTTACCAAAAGAAATGTGTTCTTTCCTGATCGTTAGACTTCAAATTCGATTTTCTTCTCCACATCCACAGCTATCCCGCTCACGTTCAAAATGGGTCTGAAGAACCAGGAGGCCCCTGAAGGAGGCAACGTGTCCCTGCGCTGTGAACTATCCAGGGCCGGGGTGCCCGTGCAGTGGTGGAAGGGGGAGGACCAGCTTTATCATGGAGGAAGGTATCAGATGACGCTGAAGGGGAAGGTAGCTGAGATGACCATCAGAAACATCCAGCCAGAGGATGTTGGCGAGTACAGCTGCGCCTTCGGGGAGCAGAAGACGACAGCTGAAGTCAACGTGAGAGGTATTCGAACATTTTACTTTTCTTTATTGCATTTTATTGCGAATTGCTACCCTGGACCCAGGGGCTATGTTGTCTGGGGGCTTTTGCCCCCTGGTAGGGCCCCGCTCTGGAGCCAAGCCCGAGGCAGAGCGTCTGGTGGCTAGGCTTTAGTCCATGGGGCCCGGCCGGGCACAGCCCAAAAAGGGGACACGGGCCCATCCTCCTGCAGGTCCACCACCCGCAGGAGGCACCGTAGGGGTCGGGTGCATCGTGTGCCTGGCAGCGGCCAGGAGTGGAGGCCCTGTCGGACTGATCCCCTGCCAAGGCTGAACTCTTGTCCTTCAGGCCCGACCTGCGCTGTATAACTGTGCATTAAACATGCTGGAGTTGTATTTGTGGAACCGCAATCCCACAATTGATATGAACCCATTAATTTATCCCTTTCCTGAACCGCTTACCACCCCGGTGAGAACTGTGCCTCTGTCAGACCTTCACGCGCCTCCCCGACCACCGGCAGGCACGGATCCTCACGCGCCTCCTCCACATGTAAGCGTGAACCCCCGCGCAGCTCCTCTTTTTCCTTCCTGTCACCCGTCAGGCATGGACCCTCGTGCTCCGCCTCCTCCTCCAGCGACAGCTTGGCAGGTTCCCCCCGTGCTCGCCGTGTGCTGACCTCCGGCTCGGGCTGAGCAGGTGGGTGAGCTGTTGGTGGACCCAGTGGTTGTTTCGTGGCCCTCCTCCAGGGAGCAGGAAAAGGCAACAACAGGCGGTACAAGCCGTTCCCACCTGAGGAGTGGGGATGGGTGCGGCGGCAGGCTGCGTCCTGGCTGGTTGCAACTTGGGGGCCAGCACGGGCGCCAGAACATTCCCGACGTCGGCCACTCCCATGCATTCGAGGGATGACGGTGGGGGTGGCGGCGATGTCGGCCAGGACTGGATCTGAGCCGCCAGACTCGCGATCCTCTGCATGCAGCACTTAACCAGGTCCTCCAGTTCTTCCTGCTGTGTGGCCACCATCTCAGCCGCCATCTGGGTCAGCTCCTTCCCCGGCTGGCCCAGTCGCGGGTCTGCTGTGTCCCCTTCCTGGGGTTCGGCACCACTGTAACAAACCCACAGCAGACCCGGTGCACGTTCATGCTTTCAAGCATCTCTTTATTACAACTCAAGGTTGACGTTCACGACACACACTTTTTTGCGGATGCCGTGCAGGTGCGTCCGCCTTACCTGCACGGCAGCGCAAGCCACGCCCACCACACTGTGATCATCACCTCTTTGTTAAAAAAGTAATCTGAATATCTCTTTCTTCACGCAGCAGCAGCATCGGTGTTCTTTGAAAAGGAACTCGAGAGCCAAACTGTGGTGGAGGGGAAGTCTGTGCTGTTCTCCTGTGAAGTCTCCAGTCCTAATGTGCCCGTAACGTGGAAGAAGGGCAACACCGTGGTGGAAGAAGGAGAACGCTGTATCGTGACAAAGAAAGGCCCCAGTCACACTCTGCAGATCAAGAAATTGCATCTGGAGGATGCTGGGGAGTTCAGCTGCATCACCAGGGGCAAAAAGACCACTGCCAAGTTGATTGTCAGGGGTGGGTGTATATGGCAGTCTAATGTCATTATTTGTTGAAGTATTGGGCTCATTTATTTACATGACACGAAATCCAGAGCTGACCCTTCTGAGTTGAGTGAATGTAAACGTATCAAATTCCCTTTTCTGCTGAAGCTGTATCTAGCTCCTGCTTCCTCCACAGAGCGCGTTCGGATCGTTACAGAGCTTCAAGACAAAACGGTGACAGCGGGAGAGGACGCGGTGTTTGTGTGCGAGCTGAGCCACGCAGACGTGAGCGAGGGCGTCTGGTGGCTTGGGAACAGCCCTCTGCAGAAGAACGAGATGAACCAGATGACGTGTCGCGGCCGACAGCACCGACTGGTCCTCACCATGACAACGCCTGAGGAGACGGGCACGGTTGCTTTTGTGGTCGGGGAGGAGAGGACCTCTGCACGCCTGCTGGTTGTTCCTAAGCCTAAAGGTGAGCATAAGAACACAGTAGAGAGGGTGTATTTAAGTAAAAACTAATAAAATGCTTCAAAGTTATGTACCCCCTGATGATCACTGGGATTTGATATCAAATTCTAGTTTTATTGGAGGAGAAGCCCAAAGACACAGTGGTCATGGAGGGCGAGACGGCTACTTTGAGTTGCACCACCTCTGACCTCACCACCTTGGTTACCTGGAAACGCAACCACGTTCCACTTCGAAATGGTGATAAATACGAGATGCGCAAGGACGGAAAAGTCAACCTGCTGCTCATCCGTGACGTCGACCCCCTGGATACTGGTGTATACTCTTGTGATACAGGAGATATGCAGAGCACTGCCAAACTCGCCGTCACTGGTACTTCAGGGCAATGAGCTAAACAATCTTACGATCAGCACGTACAGTGAGGCGTTCTTCTTAAACTATTCCCATTTCTGTCCTTTTCCCCCAGAGCTTCCTCCGTTCTTCCAGGAGGAGCTTCAGAGTGTGGAAGCTGAAGAAGGAGCTTCAGCCACCCTGTACTGCGAGCTCTCCAAACTTGGAGTTCCAGTTCAGTGGAAGAAAAACAGCTTGCCCCTGAGAGCGAGCAGGAAGTATGAGATGCGACAGGACGGTTGCTTCCTCCAGCTTCACATCAAGGAGCTCAAACTTGAAGACAGTGGCAGCTACTCGTGCCAAGCAGGGGGTGCAGAGACCAGTGCGACTGTGTCTGTGAAAGGTGTGTGAAGTGTTACTGTGTTAGCATCCTTCCAGTTGCAGAAACATAATGCGTGGTGATGGTGTGACATCACTGAAAACCTTTCAAAAGGACTTTCTTCTCCCTTTTAACACATTTTCCAGAACTTCCTCCATTCTTCAAGAAAGAATTAAGAAGTGTGGAGGCTGACGAGGGAGGTACAGCCTCCTTGTACTGCGAGTTGTCCAGACCTGGAGTGTCAGTGCTGTGGAAGAAGAACAGACTGCCTCTGAGAGCCAGCAGGAAGTATGAGATCAGGCAAGAGGGCTGCAGCTTACAGCTTCACATCAAGGAGCTCAAGCCTGAAGACAGTGGCAGCTACATATGCCAAGCAGGAAGTGCAGAAACCAGCGCAAATGTGTCAGTGGAAGGTGTGTGAATGGCTGATTTGCTTGGTTTGTTTTACAGCATTGTTAATATCTGAGTAGAAATCATTTCTGCATTTCTACAGTTTCGTTCATTACTTTCAAGCCATCTTCTTTTTTGCAGAGCTTGCACCATTTTTCCAAAAAGAGCTGCAGAATATGAAGGCAGAGGAGGGAAGTACAGCATCGCTGTGCTGTGAGCTGTCCAAGCCTGGGATATCAGTGCAGTGGAGGAAGAACAAGCTGCCTCTGAGAGCCAGCAGGAAGTACGAGATGAAGCAGGACGGCTGCCTCCTCCAGCTTCATGTAAAAGAGCTCAAACCCGAGGACAGCGGCTGCTACTCGTGTCAAGCAGGGACGGCTGAAACTACTGCAAAAGTGTCCGTGACAGGTATGCAAAACAGAATCCACCATACAAACACACACACACACGTTTCATTCTGTATGTTGCTATCTTACATTAGCTGTTGAAAAGATATTTTATACGACTTTTGTTTATGCCTGAAGTATTGTATGTATCCTGTATGTATGATGACTTTTTCTCCAGAGCGCCCACCTGTTTTCAAACAAGATTTGAAAGATGTGGCTGCCGAGGAAGGAGGCACCGCCTTGCTGCACTGTGAAGTGTCTAAACCTGGATTATCAGTGCAGTGGCAGAAGAACAAGCTGCCTCTGAGAGCCAGCAGGAAGTATGAGATGAAGCAGGACGGCTGCCTGCTCCAGCTCCACATCAAAGAGCTCAAACCCGAGGACAGCGGCTGCTACTCGTGTCGAGCAGGAGCTGCAGAGACAGCTGCAGCTCTGACAGTGAAAGGTGCGTGCAGCGAGAAAAGACTTTTCCCAATCATTTAGTAAAGCTCTGATATTAGTGCTGCCTTCTGTTATTCTATCCTGTCCTATTATTTGTTATTCATAATCTATTAGTTTAGTTTTTTTTAATAAACTCACACACTTGAAATATTTGTAGTTTAAAGAGAAAATATAGTTAGTGATGTATTAGCATGGTTCCTTATACATTATGAATTTTAAATTCCTTGCCTATTTTACCAGAGCTGCCTCCTTTCTTCAAGAGAGAATTACAAAATGTAGAAGCCGAGGAGGAAAGCACAGCCTTGCTGCACTGTGAAGTGTCTAAACCTGGGGTGTCAGTGCAGTGGAAGAAAAACAACACACCATTAAGAGCCAACAGGAAGTATGAGATGAAGCAGGACGGCTGCCTGCTCCAGCTCCACATCAAAGATCTTAAACCTGAGGACGGCGGCAGCTACACCTGTAAAGCTGGAGGTGCAGAAACCAGTGGGACTGTGACAGTAAAGGGTTTGTACACTGGTTTTAAACTCATCCACAGCAGACATTTACACAGTAAAACAATCTATTACATCTTCTTGTACATAGTCCATTGTTCACTATGAGCTAGATATTAAAAACATAGCGTTACCTTCCTTCCTCACCTCAGAGCTCCCTCCATTCTTCAAGCGAGGTTTACATAGCATGGAAGTTGAAGAAGGACGCGTGGCTTCCCTTTCCTGTGAACTGTCTCAACCTGGAGTTATGGTGCAGTGGAAGAAGAACGGGCTACTGGTGAGACCGAATGCAAAGTATGAAATGAAGCAGGAGGGCTGCTTCATGCAGCTGCTGATTAAGGAACTCAAAGTGGAGGACAGCGGCAGCTACACGTGCCAAGCAGGCAAAGCAGAGACCAGCGCAACTGTAACAGTGAAAGGTTTGTGCATGAGTGCATTTCAGCTGCATTCACGGAGTCTTAATATCAGTTTCTGAGCACTTGTGGCACTTTAGCATTATGTAAGCTAAATCGTAGCATTCTGTATTTCTTAGTTGACCCTGTATCAAACTATTTGTTGGGCTGTTCTATCCCACCTAGAGCTCACTCCATTCTTCAACAAAGAATTAGAAAGCATAGAGGCTGAAGCAGGAGGTACAGCTTCCCTGTATTGTGAGCTGTCTAAGCCCAGCGTATCAATACAGTGGAGAAAGAACAAGCTCCCACTGAGGGCCAGCAGGAAGTACGAGATGAAGCAAGACGGCTGCTTCCTGCAGCTGATCATCAATGAGCTCAAACCTGAAGACAGTGGTAACTACTCTTGTCAGGCAGGAAGCATAGAGACCACTGCAATGGTGCAAGTAAAAGGTACGTTGATTTATTGCTGATCGGCGAGGTTACAAGAAGGTAAACACACTCATGTTCATTTCCTTTGTCCAGGACAACAACCGACTCCAGCAGAGGCACAACCTCCAACAATCATGCCGCAGGCAAAAGAAACAACTCCTGCTCAGGAGCCGCAGAGACCAGTGGTCCCAGAGGGTAAACCAGCTCCTCCTGAGCCGAAAAAGAGGGCAAGAAAAGCATCAATTGCAAATTCAGAAAAAGACACGGAGCTTGTTTTTGACCTCAGACCGTCTGCGCTGAAGCATGATGATAAAGTCCAAAAGGACACTCAGCCTGCAAGAGCTGTAGAAAAAGGCACGGATGGTGCACAGAACGCAGCACATGGACAGATTAATAAAGTGAAGGACAGGGAGGTGAACAAGAAAGCTGATAAACCTGTGAGACTACAGGAGACTACAGACTATAGGGTTGACGGGGAGGTCGAGGAGCCAGCTAGGCATTTGGAAAAAGAAACTGATGCTTTACCGGAGATGAAACAAACAAGACGACATACTGAAGAATTAGCTAAAGCTGACCACGAAGAAGTTCAATCAGACAGGGCTTTGGATAAAACATGTTTTGCACAAAGGAAACAAAAAGAAAAGAAACGTGGAACTGAAAACAGCTCCGAACAACTAGAAATACATTTGGCAAAAACAAGTGGAGTTGAGGAGAAGCAGAAACATCCAGCTGCAGAAGTAGGAACGATAAGCCAGGATGACAAGTCTCCTGTGAAACCACTGCAAGGGTTGATTAGCAAAGAATCAATGAAAGATCAAAATATGACATCTTTAGAAAATGAAGGTGAACTAGACAAGACAGAAGGAGAGCCTTTGAAACCACCAACAAGATCTAAAGGAAAACTGACAGATGGAAAGCCACCAATCAAGTATTTACTGAAGGATGGTGAGGAGATCTTTCCTACAATATTAAAGATGACACAGATCGATTCTGAAGAAGACAGCAAACAGAGAGGTCGTCTGAATAAACAAGTGTCCAAAGAGTCAGAGAGAGGAACAAAGCCAGAAAAAGAGCCGACTGAACAACCAGAACGGCCGGTAGAAAAGGAAGATGCGTTTACTCATCCAAAGCCTCCTGTGAGGACAAAAAGCAAAGTAAAAGGTGCAGAAAAACAAGTATCACGGGACACGGAGACGGATCGAGAGGAACAAGAGCCAACAACAGCAGTGGTAAAAGTTCAAGACCAACCTATGAAACAGCTTCTAAAGCCGTTAAAACAGGCCGAAGAGAAACCAGCATGTGAGAGGAACCAGTCAGCAACTGAGGAAACAGAGCAGCCTGCCAACCCTCCATTAAAACAGCCAGTTCAACCCATGAGAAAAGAACCGGAAATGGACCAGGACGTGAGACTGGCAGTGAAGCCAACGAGGAGGGAGGAAGAACAACAAACACAGGTGGCAGAAGACATTCCCCTCCTTTATATTTCTGAAGATGAAACTTTCTCAGAGGCTCTGACTGAGATACCAGCTGCCCACAGGGATGTCCAGCCCCACGAACCCTTTGTTGAGATTGCACTCCAGACGACAGAACCATTGAAGGAGTCTCCGCCGGAGATCGATATCAGCACCGAGGATGAACCACAAATGCAAGAGGCTGCGGTCAAGATCCAGGCTGCCTTCAAAGGCTTCAAGACGCGTAAAGACATGCGACCTGTTTTTAAAGAGGTTTTTAAGAACCAGACAGCAGATCTTCACGGTACGCTCACACTAATGTGTGTTGTCGAGGGAAAGCCCAGCGCAGTACGGTGGCTCAGAAACGGCCAACAAATTTGCAACGACCAGAGATGCAGGATTACGACCACAGATGATGGAGAATGCACACTTGTGATCAAGAACCTGTTAAACAGCGACAGAGGAATTTATACCTGTGAGGCGGTCAATAAGTTTGGTGTGACCTCCTACAATGGAAACATAACAGTGGTGCAAACCCCCCAGCCTGCTCCTGTGGCACAGAAGCCCGTACACCCACCTCTTGCAGCCATTACTCCTTTGCAGCTCGCCCCAACAAAGCCCGCAGCCCCGCCCAAAGACCAGAATGAGAATCTGCCACAGAGTCAAGCGCAGGTGCCCACGTCAGCAGAGGACTATGCAGAAAGCATGAACGTGTCGCTGTGGGAGGCCTACACGCTGACAGAGCATGCGCCTCAGCAGACCCCCCAAGAGAGGAGACGGTCCTCTGTCATGGCTGCCAGCTCCAGTGAGTGACTTAGCTTTAAAAACTTGACTGGGTCACATTGAAGCACTAATGATTCATTACTCTGCCTTCAACAGTGTCGAGTCCCTCCGATTATGACACAGCTCCCGATATGATGGAACCTGTTGAGATGTCCACAATCACACCGAGGTACCAGATAAAACATTTGATTTATTCTATGAATGTCATTTTGTTTGGCTGTAAAGATGCCAAAAATATGAATATTGTCACAGGGAAGAACCAAAACCAACAGAACAAGCAGCTCCGAAGGATGATAACGAAGAGACAACCCAACCTCCGAAGACGCTATTAAAGATCAAAGGTCAGCAAGGTTATTTATTTAATATATTATTTATGCAACTTTCTGAGCAGGTGTACTGAAGCGATCCTCTATTACAAATGTTTAGGGGCCCATGACAGTAAAATGAGGACACCATCTCCAAAACATCGTGCCCACACGCCCTTGGACAGCACCGTCTCTGGATCTGAGTCGGAGGGGGAAGAGGACAGACGAGAGGTGATTTACGTTGATTGGATGCACGTTATCGTCTATTTTTATGTCCTTTTTAAGCATCAGTGGAACAAATCTGATAAAGTCACTGTATGACAAAATAATATTGCACACGTCCCAGCTGAGGCATAAATAATGTATTTGCTGTTTTCTTCCTCAGACGTCTGAAATATATGTGGCTCGAGCTCACTGTAGCCCTAACAGTGGCAGTAAGGAGAGTTTTATTCTGAAGGAGGGCCAGTTTGTAGAGGTGCTGGACTCTGTTCATCCTGACAGATGGCTGGTGAGGACCAAACCCACCAAAACCAACCCTGCTCAGCAGGGATGGCTGTGTCCAGCATACCTGGAGAAGAAGAGAAAGGTGGGATGTAGACATCCGCATGACAAACATGTTGAAAATCTATACTGTTAGTTTATTATTATATCAACAAAGACGTTGAGGATTTAAAAAATGAGCTTTTAATAGTTATGACTGTCATTTTAAACAGGAGACCTTCCCTCAGCTGAGAGCACGTCAAGAGGATCTTGATGGAATTGGATGTACAGGAGAAGAGTACAGGAGAGGCCTGAGGTGTGTCATACTGCCAGATGAGCTTTACTAGTATTGGGATACTGGATGGCTTCTACTGATGATGACTAAACTGTGTCAGAGTAAATACATGCATACATATTTCATGTATGTTCATGCACTTCTACGATACTTTGGTGTTGGTCATCACAGCTGGTCCTGAATAACATCTTGGCTTCTGTGATGAATCCATTTGTTTCCCTGTATCTTTAGTCAGTTGATCCAAGGCCTGATTGACGGAGAGGAGGAGTTTGTGAGAGAGATGAAGATGTTTATATCTCAGCAGCTAAATTTTCTGGACTCCAGCTACCGCATCCCCGTTAACGTCCTCAACCAGAAAGAGCTCATTTTCAGGAACATCAAAGACATCGTGTTGTTACACGAGAGGTGATACACACGTGCTAGATCAAAGGCAAAACGCATCAACGTGTCAAATCACAGTAACAGAACTCGTGTTTTCTCAGGTGTGTCCTTCCTGGGTTGAGGGAGTGTGCCACGGATGATGACGTGGCCATGCATCTGATCAAACACAGAGAAGACTTTGAGAAGTATCTGCACTACATGGTGGGTCAAGCTCAGGCAGAGGCCTGCATCGCTGACAAGGCCATCCAACAGTTTTTCAAGGTATTCACAACTGAATTCAAGTATAAACATTTAATGCTGCTGAAACAAAGCTGTGGAGAGCAGGATTACTACATCAGTCTAATGTGTTGTTGTTTCCTGGCATATTTCAGGAGTTACCAGAAGCTGGTAAGCTGGACGGTGCTGTTATGGATGTCCTTACCTTCCTCCAGCAACCAGTGGAAAGAATTCAAACTTACCAAGCGTTACTAAAGGTCAGCATATAGATTTAATACCATTTAACATTTAAGGCTATTAGGGCTAATCTTCTTTAAAGTGTGTCACATGAAAAGTTCAACTTTTTACCTGCAGGAGTTAATCAAGAATAAAGCTAAGAGTGGCCAGAGCTGCTATCTGCTGGAGGATGCTTTCTCTTTGGTGTCCTGCCTTCCCTGGAGGTCAGACAACCTGCACAAGGTGTCTCTGATTGAGAACTACCCGGCTCCTCTTATTGCCCTGGGCGAGCCCGTGCGTCAGGTGGGCAAAAATGACTTAAATACAGTTTAGATCTGGTTCCAGCATGAAACAAGCAAACCAAAAAAACTGTCGTAACATTCTAGTTGTGCAGAAACGCACAAATGATTTCACGTCTTCTTCTCTTTAGGGATCCTTCACAGTGTTGGAGGAGACTCCAGAAATTAAGACCACCTCTAGAGGGCATCAGAGACAAGTCTTTCTCTTCAGGGAATGCATTGTACTGTGTAAACTGAAAAAAGACACCAGCATGAACCGAGACACCTACACCTTCAAGAACAAAATGAAGGTAAGGTCATTTGTCGTTCTGCGTCGCACCACGCCGTACACTTACTGCTTTTCCAGTTCTTCATGTCGTCCTCCCACTTACTCGTCCTCCTCATTGTCTCCAGCTGAATGATGTGGAAATAAAGGAGACTGTGGGTGGAGACGAAAGGTCTTGGGGCTTGTGGCACGAACACAGAGGCTCCATAAGGAGGTACACGCTGCAGGGCAGCTCCACGCTGCTCAAACTGTCCTGGCTTAAAGACCTGAAGGAGCTACAGCAACGTTCCAGCCTGCCTACTAACAGTAAGTCTGTTAGTCCAGGTACTGAACATCGAACATTTTTATGATAAAACCATAAAACTAAATACTGTTTCATTCATTAACCTAACACGGCAACATTCAGTTCTGAAACGCTGGATTAAAAGTTATCTCAGTGATAAACAGTCAAAGATAAACTGATGGGTCCAGTTACGCTGTGTGCTTGATGTATATTTGTGTGTTTGCATCCACAGGTCCCCCAGTGTTTGACTCACTGCTGTCTGACTGCACATCGAAGATGGGACAAACAATCAAGCTGACCTGCAAAGTGTCAGGATCTCCAAAACCAGAGATCAGCTGGCTCAAAGGTTTGAAAATAGACACATAATAGAAAATTATACTTCACATGGTTGCATCTGTTTGATGTTTTATCAGATCAGATTGTTTGCCCTCATTCGTGTACATATCTTGTTATTTATGTCATCGTGTATCCACATTTTGCATTCAAAGTAACTTTGACTTATATGAAGAACTGACAGTTAAGCCAACTTTTACATACTGTGCTGAACACATTTATCAGACGACCACCTAATGTGAGGCTTACACCTGCCCTGAAGTACCAGCATCATTTTTATGCTTCTGTAATGGTTAATCCAACATTTAATACATTTGTGTTTTCGTGTTTTTATATCGGGTTGTCTTGTAAATTTGTTGCGCACTTCATCAGTGCCAATCCTTTGTCATCTGAACTCGTGTTAGGTATAAAACTGCATTTCACCTTTTCCACTTTAAAAATCAACCCAGTGTCTCCAGAAGTTGATTCTGTTCATCTGGACGCAGCGTTTTGTGGGAGAAACGTTTGGTCACTCATCCAGGTGACTGCTTCAGTCTCAGCTGACTGCAGGTTTCAATCTTATAAAGAGTACATATGATGACTGAAACCAGCCCACTGAAGGAACAATGGGCTGGGAGGTCAGTTCCTTCATCTTAATTATGCAAATTCTCTTCTGAAGAAGTCACCTGGATGATGACGAAACGTTTCTCCCACAAAACGCTGCGTCCAGATGAACAGAATCAACTTTTGGAGATTTACTTACCTGGATGATTGAGATGCATCAAGACAACCCAAAAAGGTCGTTTCACTTTCAGGTATTACTGTGTTCCTAAAAAGAAAAGAAAACGTGTATTTGTGTGACATGTCACGGAGACAGTGTCCAGAATAGCAGACGAGTTTATCACCACATAATTGAGTGTTATGGTCACAGTGATGAACCTACCTGGATCCTGATCCCTTCCTCCTAGATGGCCTTCCTTTGGAGGACGACCCACGTCACATCATCACCGCAGACCGGTCGGGCTCCTGCAGTCTCATCCTGGACAGCCTCACTGCGGAGGACTCCGGAGAGTATGCGTGCTACGCTACCAGCTTCATGGGCAGAGCTGGCACTCTGGCTAAGGTGGTGGTGCAGGGTGAGTTACCAATCCGAGTTTAAGCTATGCTAACACTGGGGCTCGATTGATATGTACGCATGCGTCAGGCGGCACGCAGCCTGTTTCAGCTGCTGATGCTTTTGTCTCCTTACTTTAACTTTTTCTTACTTTTGTCTTTGTCTTTTACTTTGTATGTTAGTGTTTGTTTTGTCTTTTCAAACATGTGGATCGAGAAAGTTTTGGTTCTCCTTGTTGTCAGGGAACTATTTTGTATAATTCCTTAGCGATTGATAAAGTTTTGTGATGCTGAATCTGTGCGTAAATCACGCGACTGTTTCACACACGTATCCATGATTGATCAATATTAGGAACAAATTTAGACATAAAAAAAATAAACAACTTCTTGGTTGCCTCAGGAATTTAAACACAAATCTTTAAAATGAATACTACACCTACTACACCTACTACTGCTTTCACCATTACTTCTACAACTAACAACAACAACAATAATTATTGTTTTTATTATTGCCTTTTGGTTATTATTTACAAAAATGTCCTTTTTTTAAACAGCATAAGCAACAAAATGCACAGAATTGCAACAAAAAGAAAACATGTAAATTAAACAAATTACTAAATGTAGCGATGTGGCCTTTAACCTTTGTAATTTAAACATATTCCCCTATACGTTATTTTATTTTATCATAGCTTAAACATTCTTACCTTTCTTCAGGATGACTTCCATCACGGCAGCGTGATTTCTTGATGCTGAGAATTTGGAGCTTTCTTTTCATTGTAGTGAGTTTTTGTTTTTAGGTTGACACATGGCACCTTGTCCGTGTCTTCCACCTGTTTCTCTTCTTTCTCGTGGTCTGTTGGGCTTTTTCGTATCAACTTTGTGTTTTTTATTTAAGCCGCAGTGATCTCAGGGGAAATCATATTCGTCGCTTTAATTTAATTTATTTTTAAATGTTTCGTCACTCCAGTCGAAACACTTTGAAAAGCTACACCTCTTCCGTCTTACTCCTTGGACCTCAGACAGCATTGTGTAATTTTCTATAGTCTGACCTTATTCCCTGCCTGAGAGGTGCGGGCTTCGTTCTTACACCATAGTCACCTGTTTTGCCATTTCACATCTGTGCTTCTTTCTGCAGAGAAATGGAGCGGGGCAGTATGCTGATTGCATGCTGATTGCACAACGCTGCTGTGTCTGAATGATTTTGATTTACTAACATGCAACAACATACACCGTTATGCACGTTTCATAAATCCAACTTTAAATTTGCCTACAAAGGGTAAGGGTAAGAACATTTCCCCTGAGAGCTCCGGAGTTACTAGAATAGAATAGAATAGAATAGAATAGAATAATCCTTTAATTGTCCCACAAGGGGAAATTTGGTTGTAACAGCAGCCAGAAAGACACATATACAAACAAACAGGACACAGGACAGAAACATACACAGTTTTTTTCTTACTTATTTACATCAAGGACAGTGGTTACTATAAACAGAGTACTGTACAGTTATTAAATAAAATAAAATTACAAATAAGAGGCAAACCCTGCTGCTTTTGGTTGTTTCTAGGCTAAACCTGATCTTTTCATGCTTCTTTTCTCCAGCTCCACCCAGATTCGTGAGTCGACTGGAAAGTGCTTGTCTCATTGAAGGAGAGGACATCCAGTTCTCCTGCTCCACATTCACCACTCCGTTACCGAGAATTAGGTATCGCAGCGCAGAGCTGACCGCTGTAGTCGCTTTACGATTTTGCAACTATTGTGTTTCTGAATGCAGCGCTGCTTGCTCTTGACAGGTGGTTGAAGGATGGCAAAGAGTTGACTGACCAGCAGAAATACTTGATTATGAATGATGCACGGAGCGGGATCCTGTCTCTGACCGTCGTCAGGGCAACTGAAGCAGATATTGGGCAGTACGAGTGTGAGGTATAAAACATCGTCCATGTGTGAACACAGCTGGTGTCACTAATGTCAGAGCTCTGCCTTTGAGATTATGTATGAAAATGTTTTATTTTGTTCAGCTTTGGAATGAACTTGGTGGCGTCAAGTGCAAGGCAGGTTTATGCCCCGCCTATGTCCCCCCGACTGACCGCGAGAATGACCAATCACAGGACTTACCTCCTAAAGGTATGACAGTCACAGCCAATGACGTTAACATCCTCCACCTAGGATGGGAACCCATAAGAGCCTTTTTAAGTGGGTGGGGGTCACACTGTCACTAGTTCAGCTGTGTTGGAGAAAGGGTGAAGCACATGCCATTGTCCAGTCACCCTGTTCTTACATCACACCATGTGACATCTCTTCCCTTCACTACAAACAGTTTGGATCAGTTTCACCTTTCCACCCTTCATTCATTTGATCAAGTTTACACCATTTTCAGACTTTACTCACGTTTTCCTTTCCCCGTTTCACACACACTCACATCATGAATAGTTCCAACCACCCTACCAGCTGTCACTAGATTCCTAAGGATTATGGCGTTGGGTGTAGTCTGCACTGTAGCTGCATGCCACAGAGTTGATGCAGTTTCCATTTGCACTGTGCAGCAAATGCAAAATCCTAACTATTAACTGTCATATATCACACGAGATAAAACCACATCAACATTTATTCACCATCAACCCATTTCCCATTTGGCACGTCATGAAAAATGCACACTTCATATCCATATCATCTCAGTATCTGTAACTACCATCTTCCAGCAAAAACCAACTTGCACATAAATATCTCATCCTCTCTAATACTAATCTAAAACCTGAGTCATTGTCTGTGAAGCTTCTCAGTCATCCAGGTCATCGGAGTCTAAGGAGCTTGGAAAGAAAGGCGCCTGGACTTCATTAAGTTGCTTGAAGACGTTTCACCTCTCACCTGAGAAGCTTCCTCAGTTCTAGGGTCAAATGGTGGAGAGTCCCAGATTTAAGCCCTGTGGGAGTGTCCCCCAAGTGTCACGGTTCGGCAGGGCAAACCGTGGGGATGTGGGGAAAGGAGGACCCAGGCGTGGTGCTCTGTGTATAAGCAGTGCGTTTATTTACAGTGTGGTAAATATCGATGCACAATTAATCCCCGTGCTCCCCAAGACTCCCGTGTGTGTCTTCCAGTGGCGTCCGTGTTCGTGCTCCCCGCTGTCGTGACTCTGCACACCCTGTGCGTGCTGTCCTTCCTCTCCACGCTCCTCCTGGGGAGAACAATGGAAGCAGCCGTTAGACACTGACCCCTGCGGGCAAACACGATCAGTGCTTCCTGGATTAACACACTGACACACTCTCAAGTAGCTCCTCCGACGAGGCCTGATCAGCTGCAGGTGTGTCACGGACTTCAGGTGTGGCCAATCACTTGCCAGGGCCACACCCACACACCTACATACACACATATATCTACAAGCAGGGAGAACGAGGGACAGCAATAACAAAATACATATATAATAATAATAATATAATTCATAACTGCTCCGGGACCTTGGGTCGCTCCGACCCAGGACGCTGACACCAAGAGGGACATGGACCCCCTAATGATCCTCCACCTAATCGCACGGCCAAGGTGTGTAAATCTGGGACTCTCCACCATTTGACCCTAGAACTGAGGAAGCTTCTCGGATGAGAGGTGAAAGTCCAGACGCTTTTTTCTTTCCAAGCTCCTCAGACCTGAGTCATTGTTGATCTTCTCTAATAACTGACTGTAGATCTGTAGTACGTCACCCTCTGCATGTATGGGACGTCTGAAATGTTTTAGGATCACATGGTGTTCTCAAAGCTAACATTTGTTCTGTTGCCATAACGATGGGATCTAGTGGCTACCATTCAACATAGACACCATACCTTACTCCACAGCATCCCATGAGAAGACCCCGTATGCAACGTTTTGTGTGTTTCATCACATTCCCACTGTTCACAGAAGGCATGGATTCAAACTAAACAGATAAATATACAAAGCTTGGAAGTAGCTGTTACTGAATATTATGCAGTGATTTTCCAACTCTGCTAGTTTTGCTACAGAATCCACACTTAAAGCAGAGCAATACAGTAGAATAGAGCAATCAGTGTAAGTATAGCATGTACGATCTGAGTATATCTATATTTTCTGGACTGTTGACGCCATGTTTGTCCTTCCATTGTCCGTAACTTACGTATTTTCTCATCTTCCCTGTACTGGTCCTAAAGCAGGAGGTTCCTCACATGGACAGTTCCATGTAAGTCATCATTGTCATGATAACAAATAACCACTCAGCATCCTCCTCTCTCCTCTTGCCAACGCATGCCCAGCTAACTCTTCACTCCTATGAACAAAAGATGGTCATGTGCCGGGCAAGTGTCACTTTTGCGCCCGTCTAGCAGGGGGCATGTGCCCATGTCCTGTTGATGTGGTGGGTTGGTAAGATCCAACCCAGAGGCTGAAGGTAAGGATCACAGCACATTGTTGCTGTTCCTGCGCTGTAAGGTAATGTACCCTACGTGTTTCCTTTTTCAACATATTAATAAGAGTAAAATCCTTTGAAATATATAATTACTGCCATTGTTTTCTGTCTGAGTTGGTTTTGATCTTCGTAGATCCCGACTCAGAGGGCTGGTCTGCTGCATTTGTGAAGAAATGGTTACAGGCTGATTTCAACCCAACTTCTATTGCAAGGATGCTTTTTCCCCCCGAAAGTCCTGAACAGTAAGTTCAGCTTTATGCACTGACATTCGCTTCCACATTAAATCCTGATCATGTTTTGAATGTTTGTCTCTGTTTAATGGTTTGCTTGTGAAACTAGATCTGGATTTTAAGCATTTACTGTGTAATAACCAGTGTTGGTCAAGTTACTTGAAAAAAGTAATCAGTAACTAATTACTGATTACTTCCCCCAAAAAGTAATCCTGTTACTTTACTGATTACTTATTTTCAAAAGTAATTAATTACTTAGTTACTTTTTAAAAACACGATTTACAACCTGAATAGGTGATAAAGTGATAGATCTCTCAGCCCAATTCTACTTTTTCTGCATAATCCATCATACAAAATGTAATCAGATGGAAAAGTCTCTTTTTAAAACTTGTTTTATTAGTTTTAATCTTTTTTAACTTTATGCATCAAGCAAAAATTTAATTATCTGCAACATTCTCTGACTGGAAGAAATTAGTTTAACATTTAAACCTATTTTCTGCACATTCCAGCACATAAAATAAAATAGTTTTTGTGTTTACACTCAGTCTTTCAAATAGATGCAAGTAAAACACAGCAGAAAATAAATAAAGTCAAAGACTCAGCGGTCCTGTTGCTCTATTTTCTCCTGTAAAGCAGGAGTGGGGTAGGCGGAGGGTTACCCTGGTGCAGGTGTGCCGCGGTCAGTGGAAGAATCCGCGAGTTTCTCTGTCACGAACGTCGCACTCGCTTACGTTACTGTCATGACACAGTAACGAGTAAAGTAATCCCTTACTTTACTCGTTACTTGAAAAAAGTAATCGGATTACAGTAACGCGTTACGCGTTACTGTCCATCTCTGATAATAACTGTCCTTAATCTAATGTTTGTCTCCAGCGCTGAGGGTGGTGCTGAAGTGAGTCTTTACGCCCCCACGTCAGCCGATCCAGCAGCACAGCAGCCCATGTGTTACCTCGAGGAAGAAGAGGAGATCTACATCTCAGAGCAAATACAAGAAATTGCAGATGGTATCCTTGCCTCCTACTCATAACATGTAGAATAATATCACATTTTACATGATTAGCTCATGAATCAAATTTCTTGTTTAGCTCCTCCCTCTATCCAGATACCCATCGAGGACCTGTTTGTAGAGCCGGGTCACCCATCGACATTTACAGCCATCATCACAGGAAGACCAGCACCTAAGATAAAGTGGTACAAGGTATGAGCAGAGTTTTTTGAGTTATTTTCTAAACGGATTTTTTGGTCTATATCAACTCTTCAAAGGTTGTAAGAGGGAATCACATTGTTCTAAGATCACAAACCGCTGGTTTCAATCTGAAAGCTTATTTATAAATGAAACTGCTGGTTCACATTAATAGGATGAAGAGGAGCTTGCAGCCAATGAGAATGTGAGGATGGGACAACATGGTGCCCGCTGCTCATTAACCATAGTGTGCACCGAGGGTGAGGACAGTGGGATGTACGCCTGCTTCGCTCACAACAACTCTGGTTATGCATCGTGTCAGGCTGAGCTGACAGTAGAAGAAGGTAACACAGGAGCTCAAAATAACCAAAGGGCTGCTCGTCGCTGTAGCATGCGTTTGTTGTTTCCAGCACTGGAGTTAGTTGCAGCTTTAGTTTCTCCCTGCAGGACTCCTGGAGTTCCAGGAGAGAGAGGTGGAGCTGGGAAAAAGAAGGAAGCTGTTCTCTGTCTATGACGTCCACGATGAAATCGGAAGGTGAATCTGCATTTTCTCTTTAGCATTATCTTTGCCAAGATTTCATGTGCAGTAAATCATCTTTCTGTGTTTTAGGGGAACGTTCGGAGTAGTGAAGCGCGTCGTCCACAGAAGGACCGCTGAAGTCTTTGCTGCCAAGTTTCTGCCTCTGCGGAGCAGCACTCGGACCAGGGCCTTCCAGGAGAGGGACCTGCTGTCCCGCCTCGCTCACCCCCGAGTGGCTTGTCTGCTGGACTTCTTTTGCACCAGACGCACCTTGGTGCTGATCACAGAAATGTATCCTACCTTTTACGTGTTACAGTTAATTTGTGTGTTTGACCACATATTGAAGCTGTGAGTTCTTTAACAGCTTTTCTAGCTGCTGTTCTCACGGGCTTCTGGATCATTTATTACTGAAAGGATCGGTCTCAGAAAAAGAGGTATATTTAATTTACTTTATTAAATGATTCGAGTCTTGCAGAAAAGGTGCATGACACGTGTTGTGTCTTCTTATTTCAGATTCAGTCATTCATACAGCAAATTCTGGAGGGAGTTGGTCACATTCATAGCATGAACATCCTGCATCTGGACATTAAAGTGAGCGCTCTGCTGCATTGCATTATTTACTCTGGGATTTATTTTCACGAAGTCTCTTTTTCATGTTTCTTCCTTTTAGCCTGAAAACATCCTCATGGTGTATCCCCCAAGAGACGAGATCAAAATCTGTGACTTTGGCTTCTGCCAGGAAATAGACACATCCAGGCACCAGTACAGCATGTTTGGGACGCCAGAATTTGTTGCCCCAGAAATTGTTCACCAAGAACCAGTAACTGTGGCCACTGATATTTGGTGAGTTTAACGGCTACATGTATTTTAGATATAAATCAAATACTGTATATTTCTCTACATCCAGATGCAGAACCAACCCTCTAGTTTTATACGGAGATTTAAATAAAAGTAAACGATTATTTGCAGTAGTGCACAAAAGTTAAAAGTTGAAACAAAACGTTTGAATCGTTTCTGCCTTGTCAGGGCCGTGGGGGTTGTCGCGTTTCTCTGGTATGTATCTCCACCTTTTGAAAGCAATCTTGAAATCTTAAAAACACAGAACATCCAAAAATGTAACGACTCTTAAACTTTATCTGGACAGTCTGGTGTGTCGGTGCCCTTTTGTGGGCGAGACTGACCGCGCCACACTGCTGAGGGTGGGGGAGGGCACTCTGAACTGGGCCGCCCCTGATGTCATGTACAGGAGCCCGGAAGCCAAGAACTTTCTCCACACGCTCCTTCAGCCTGACCCAGAGTAAGGAAGCGCTTTTGGTGTTTTACGTGGGCTCGTGAGATATTTTTAAAGTTATGTGCAAACGACAGAAAGTACCCTGTGTCAGTGATGCTAACGCTGCTAAGCTTCTTATAGCTTCATTATGTTGGATCCAGTTGCTTTAAGGTGAAACAGGGAATGTCTCTGATGTTTCTGTACCTAGGAAGCGACCGTCTGCCTTTGAGTGCTTGGGCCATGACTGGATCCAGGTGAGGTCATATCATCAGGTGTTTCCTTTAAACTGTGAATGTCAAACTTACTGAACATTGGGACTGTTGTCAGGATGAACATGCAGGAGAAGACACGGATGAAATCAATACAAGGAGTCTGAAAGCCTTCATTTCAAAAAGGAAGTGGCAGGTGAGTTCCTGCTGCGGCTTTAATACCTGCCTGGATACAAAAGGAAATACCAGATGGTTTCCTGTAGTGTTAAACATCTTTGTCTGAGTGTGCTCTCTTTCTCTTCAGCGTTCTCTGACATGCATTGGGTCGGTGCTCACGCTGAGGCCCATTCCTGAGCTACTAGATGCTCCTCTCAGGGAGACGGCAGTGACGGTGCCCCGAGAGCCCCAAGAACACAGCAGTACCTCCCCGAGCAGTGGCTCTTCGTCCGAGTATGACGAGGCTGACTCCTGGGACTTTTTCCAGCACTGCAGCCAGACTGAAGAGGAAGAGGAAACAGAGGAAGACTATGATCCTTTAATGGAGAGAGCACAGATCCCAGATCCTTTTCCCAGCTTCCACCGGGATGGAGAAGAGGAAGGGGATTTGACACTAGGTGAGGAAGAGGATGGGGAGATAGTAGGAAGGAGGACTGTATTAGAGCGGAGTATGAGCAGGCAATCGGTCGCATCGTCGGAAGTATCGTGTCAAAGGACACCTCAGAGGGAACGTCGGTCCAGCAAGGACAGCAGTCCATCGCTCTACCTGTCGGATGGGGACGAGGGTTCAGGGAGTGACGGAGGTCGTATTCCTCGGGGAAGCGTCATCCGAAGCACTTTTTATAGCAACTCTCATCAGCTTTCGCCGTTGTCTGCCAGACACATGACATTAAGGGACAAATTTCAAGCTAAGAAGCAGGAGAGGGGCCGCAAGCCGCTCAGGAGGAGCTTCTCAGGACGCCTCAACGAGCCTCTTATTGAATATGTGGAGGATGAGATGGAGACCAGCCGTGGCCAGAGACGGGCATCCGTTCAGACCGCAATACAGAAGTCCTGCTCGTTTGACAGCGGGGTGGGTTTCGCCCATGCTAACGCACCACCTCACAGAAGGAGCAGGTCTCTAGATGAGTATTCACGTCGGTCTCCCACGTCACCCAAACGTGCGAATGCTGGTGAAGAAGAAGGGTCGCAAAGTCTAAAGGAAGATTTCACAGACGATGAAGTGGCCGGGACAAACTTGCTGACAATCCCAAATTCTCAGCGAGCCAAAAGAAGAGGCTCTGTCACTCCTGTGCAGGTGAGGCAGGCTTTTAGAGGAGCCTCTGTTCCTTCGAGCTTGGACCAAGCACAGACGGAGGGAGATGACTTTGCTGGCTCCCAGGGGTCTCTGGCTGAGTCTTTTATTTTGGAGCATGGTGGCTCTGAGTCTTCAAGTAGACTCGGCTCCAGTGAAGAACTGAGTCACGGTCGTCTCAGAGGGAGATACAGATCAGGAGACGGCGATGGATATGATGATCAGGGTGAGCGCCTCGTTGCACCATCGCCTCGCTCTTTCCAAGAAGTAAAACCCCGAAGCTCGTTTCCCCGGGCACCACCACGTAATCGCACACGCTCCAATCCTAACCTGTCCACAAACAGCAGAGGTCAGCTGGGGACGCCGCTAATGCCAAGCCCCAGTCCCAGCCTCTCTTCTCTGCAGGCTCCAGAGAGGCCTCCCAGAGCCCGGGACAAGAAAGAGGGTCACGGGCTCCAGAGGCACGCATCTGCTCCAGCCCTCGAAGCTCGACCACCTACAGGAAGGTCACCAAAACTGGGACTGCTTAACATCTTCCGCAGGCAATCCTGGACTGGCCATTCCTACTCCCATCTGGAGGACACGGAGTTAGGACCAACTCTGGGCGAGATCATGAAGCCTGATACTCCCACCATGTCTCTAAGGAAGAGAATGAGAGCGTCAGCCTCAAGTCTGACCAAACTCTTTTCCAGATCCTCCAGTAAAGAGGATGTGAGTAAAGGAGGTGAGGCACCGCAGATGCACCTCAGTATAAGCACTACGTTGTGTTACTGTTGTGAAATGATATCCTGTATTATTCAATCTGAAGTTAATACCATTTGCTCTTTCCTGTTTTATTTATAACAGGTCCAATAGTGAAAGGATCAGCTCCCGCTCCACCTGAAAGGAGGCGCAGCAGCAGCCTCGAGAGTCCCAAAAGGAGGAGCTCAAAGCTCTTACCATCCTTCAAAATACCTGCGTTTAAAAAGAAAGGTCGGACAAAGGTTACATTCTGTGACTGATCTGCTTTAAATTTCACATCACAGTTGTTGCTTTGAGAACATGCTCTTTTGTTACCCTTTGTTAATATTCAGACCTGCCCGTTCGCCCCAGCAAGGCTGAGGTGCTACAGTTGGATGGAGGCGGAGTCCTCCTGGCGTGGAGGCCGGTTCGCTCAAGCGATCCCGTCACTTACTGCGTGCAGTACTGTACGGACGGTGCGTTCGCAGACATGGCAGGACAGAAATGTGTTTTTTGTTGTTTGTGTTAAAAAGAAATGATTTAGTGTTTATTTCATTATGACTAAACTATATTTTTATGGTCTAAAATAGCGGCTCCAACCTTTTTTGTGCCACGGACCGGTTTATGTCCGACAATATTTACCTTTAAGGTGTCGAGGATAAATACAACAAAATAAAAACAGTACTGGTACCGAAGAAGGAAGATTTAGTCATAACATACAGGAACAGACCCAGGGGGAAGGGAACAGAGTTAACCATCAAAACGATAAATAAATAAGGCTAAAACCATAAATTTCACTCCTGAGCCTCGACTCTCGAGGCCCGGTACCGGGGGTTGGGGACCGCTGGTCTAAAACACCAGGGAATTTTAATAGCACTGTGTTACTGGTGTTTTCCATTGCCTAAATCAGGGGTGTCCAACTCCAGGCCTCGAGGCCCGGTGTCCTGCAGGTTTTAGATGTGTCCCTGATCCAACACAGCTGATTTAAACGGCTAAATGGCCTCCTCAACATGTCCTGAAGTTCTCCAGAAGCTTGAACTCATCATCTGAATCAGCTAGGGATGCACCGATACCAATACTGGTATCCGGTATCGGGGCCGATACTGTAAAATGTGTGTGTACTCATACTCGTAAAAGTTAACCGATACCATGAACCGATAGGTTTTTGTACTCTGTATCGGCCAGTACTCAGATCCAAGTATCGGTATTGTAGCTGCCATCACCAGTGTGTGAATGGGTGGATGACTGGATGTGTAAAGCGCTTTGGGGTCCTTAGGGACGAGTAAAGCTATATAAATACAGGCCATTTACCATTTATTGTATCGGTTTGAAAAAATTGGTATTGTTGCATCCCTAGAATCAGCTGTGTTGACCCAGCGTGAGATCTAAAACCTGCAGGACACCGGCCCCCGAGGCCTGGAGTTGGACCCCCCGGGCCTAAATTTAAACAGTGTAGTTGAATGCAGCACTCCTTATAGGAGGTCACAGGTTATGAGCAGAGGGTTGGGTGGTGATTGAGTGTGATGCTTACGGAGGAGTGCGAGGAGTGTACCTGTGTGTGCATGTATTGCAAACACATCATTTGTAAAACGGCACCAACACTGGTGTCATGGTTTCATGTCTCCACAGGGGCGGAGTGGACAGTCCTGTCAGAGGACGTGGCAGACAGCTGCTACGTGGTAGAGGACTTACCGAGAGGAGCTTCTTACGTGTTCAGGGTGGGTCGTGTCACAAAGACGGGAGCAGGACCGCTCAGTGACGCCTCAGCTCCCGTTGTTATGGCGACTGATCCTGAAGGCAAGAGAAACGCTGTCTCCTATTGGACGTTGTCTTTTTATGATTTCACGTCATTGTTATTATGCTCTCTTTGAAAACATGGTGCAACAGCTGTTTGTGTTTGTTATACAGAGATCCACATTCCTCTCATTCAGGCTGAGTCACTGGGGTCAAAGGTCATTGGATCAGAACAAGCAGCACACAAGAACTACAACTTCCTGTCTGAGATCAACAGGTGAGACATCCAACAACGAGCTGCAGCAGTTCAATAAAGTTATGTTTTGTTTCTCTAATCTTTATAACTGAAGAGCTGATTCCTTCTGTTGGTAGTAACAGTGTGCATGATAACACAGGATACCAGAACCAGGCCCAGTACGCCAAACCTTCCTTTACATGCTCAGGTCTTGGCCTTACTATGCAAAGTGCCCTTGGGTGATTTATGTTGTGACTTAGTGCTGCATCCATCCATCTTTCAGGGGTCGTTTCAGCGTGGTAACCCTGTGCAGGAACGCCGAGACCAGCCAGGTGTTTGCGGCCAAGATCACCCCTTACCAAGCAGAGCAGAGGCAGCTGGTGTTGAGGGAGTACCAGCTGCTGAGGAGGCTTCACCACCCCCACCTGGTTCAGCTGCACTGTGCTTTCATCACCTCCGGCTACCTCGTGTTAGTAGAAGAGCTTTGTCCCGGCAAGGAGCTCCTCTACAGCCTGGCTGCGAGGTAAGCGACGCTCAAAAACATCAGCCATGAAGGAGGAGCATAGTTCCTAATAACGCTCGTGTGTCCTCGTCTTTCAGTCTAGCTTCAGGTTAGAACTTGTACACATGAATGAGCTTGAGATGGGAAGTCTAAGAATTTAAATAGACGTTATTAGGCAGAACAAACAGAACTGTATATCAAAATGTAAAAAAATCAAGCTAAGCTAATATTTCTGTGCTAATTCATTAGTTATGGCATCTCGGGCGCTGACGTCAAGCTTCACCATCACGTCTGTGTTTGCGTCCTCTCAGAGATCTGTACACAGAGACTCAAGTGGCCGAGCTGCTCGTTCAGATCCTGAGTGCGGTCGACTATCTCCACGGCCGCCGAGTCGTCCACCTGGACCTGAAGTCGGACAACATGCTGGTGGACGACTGTAACCACCTGAAGGTCGTTGACTTTGGCTCGGCTCAGTCCTTCACGCCCGGACAGCCTTTAAACATCGAGCACATCCAGGGCTTTTCTGACAGCAGAGGTAATGATGTGTGTTTTTTAAATTCACACTAAATGTTGTACGCTGCATTCTGATTGGTCTAACATACTAAACCTCTGACTGTCGTGGCCTCCTCCTGCAGCAAAGGTACACGCTGTTTTACGGAGGACGGATTGATGGAAATAACTCCGCCTAACTCCATCCACCTCAGCTGACCCTAGCTCCCATAGTCTAACAAACCCAAGTCTATTCTTATCCTTTTATCCATTTCTTTTTGGTCTGAGCCTTTTTCCTGATACAGAAAGATGCACTGCCTGTAAACGTGCCACTCTCTATAAAGATATTCTGTCTGTCTGTTCTCTCAGTGTATATTATCCTTCCTAAAGCTCCGGAAATCCTCGAAGGTCAGGGTGTTGGGCCAGAGACCGACATCTGGGCTGTTGGAGTTTTGTCGTTCATCATGTAAGCAAAGAGGTTTATTCAAACTTGGATTACATCTCATCATCTGAGAACAATCCCACACGTAGCAGGGCTGTTCTGTTCTGATAAGTGTGGGTTTGTAGACGTCATGGTGTGAGGAGGCTACAGACTGACTTCTGTTATAATAAGAATTACTATCATCTTTATCCTTCCCTACGTTAGGCTGAGTGCTGACAGCCCGTTTCATGCGGAGCACAGCTGGGATCACGACAGAAACATCAGGAAAGGGAAGATCCAGTTTGGACGCTGCTACCCGGGTCTGTCTGAGGGAGCCCTGAACTTCATGAAGAGCAGCCTGAACAACAAATCCTGGTGAGTCTTTTCCCAGAGTGTACTCACTCACACGTTAACACTCATTCTGACATGATAAAAAACTTTGCAGGGGGAGACCCACTGCAGCCGAGAGTCTCCAGAATCCGTGGCTCCGTGCCCATCGCGCCCCACACAAAGCCCGTCACTCCAAAGTGTGCTTCTCCACCGACAAACTTAAAGCTTACCTCAAGCAGAAAGAGGAGAAACGAGATCAGGTGCGCACCAAGCTTCAGGGTCCCTCCTTCTGCCAGTGACGCCACGGTGCCAAAGTTACCATCGTCTTTCTCAACGAAGAAGAAAACCTGCAGCAGTTTGTGCTTCAAGTGTTGCTCTGTGTCTGCCAACCTGGAGCCCGGTTTGAAAAACGTTTGATTTTTAAAAGTTGATGCGTCTTAATGAGTTGCTTCTGTGTTCGATTGTGTTTGATAGTCTGGGGATTTATTTTGTGCGTGTCAGGGATAACGTGTGATCACATAAGGTGTGCACGGTGTTGCTGCATGAGCTGGAAAGTTGATCAAAATGTTGTTTTGCTCCTCTGGCAGACGGACGGACATGCTTGGCTTTGCAGTTCTGCCTCCGTAAAACTTATTTAACGCAGTATTTTATGTGAAGCTTTACAGGAGTTAGTCGATTAAATCATTATTAAACAACTCAAAGTGCTCAGTCGTTGTCCTAAAACTCTTTATTCTGTCTCGTTTCAGTAAAACACACGAACATTTCAGCTCTAACACATTTTAGATTAAATCTACCACAAACGGTGATTTTCAGATGCTCTGTTGTTCATGTGCACGAGTCCATCCTGATAATATACTCGACTAAGACTGAATTTATTTCTAAGTCGAAGTCATAGTATCTGAACACTTTCTAGATGTGGAGCTAAAGCAGATCTGTGCCAGCCTGCGAAGACCGAACGTAGCGCTGGATGTGGCGTTTTATTCGTACCTGCTGAGCCAAATGTCAGAAATCTATGAAGTAGGACTACACACCTAATATCAGCCACTGCTTTTACTAAATCTAACACAAAGGACATGTGAGACACGTCGGTCCAGACTCTTCGTTTCCATCTGTGTGTCTGAACTGCAGCTGGACGCAGCTGAGCGTGAGGAAGAGCTTTTCTTATTTCACGTGTTCCAGTGAAGATGGAGCTTTTCCAGTCAGAGACACATCAGTGTTCCTGTCCACCTGCTGAAAGCCTGCTTATTTCCTTATTATGATTTGGCCTCCTGAACTTTTTTAATTTCCTGTGGAGAGAGAGAGGTGACAAGTACTTCAACCAATCATCTGATGAGTATAAAGTAAAAGGAGCAAAGAGACTTTCTGCTTTTACTTACTTCATCCAGGATTTCTTTTAGCTCCTCGTAGGCCTTTTCTAAGTCGTCGTTGATGATCACAGCATCAAACACTCCGGGCTCCTTACCTAGAAATGAAATCAAATTGCAATAATTGGCTTTACATTCGGGATCACGTTCCGCCGGAAATGATGGGAAACTTACTGAGCTCCATGTCGACGCGTGCCGCTTCCAGACGTTTCTGTAAACTCTCCTCTGTTTCCGTCTGCCTGTCCCTCAGACGTTTTTCCTGAGAGACGACAGAACAATCACAGCACCTACCTGTAACTGGGCACTGCTTCTTACTACCAGGTGAAGTCTTGTCACACTTTTAAAGCACGCTCAAAGTGCAAATATGAAGAAATAATACATCTTAAAAGCGCAAGAAAAGAATCGATATATGCTGTGGATTAATCACAATAAAAGGATTTACCAACACGTCCATAGATGGAGGCTGGATGGAGACGTAGATGGGGTTCAGGTCGGTCTCTTTGATCCGCTTCACCCCCTGGATATCCACGTCCAGGATGCAGATCAGGTTTTTGGCTCGCACGTCTTCCACAGAAGCCTTACTGAACAAACAGGAGTCAAATAAGCCGTGCCGTTCACGTGAGCAGAAACATCCAAGCAGGTACTGAATGTAATTTTGTGCTTCTCACACGAAGTGACTGGTAAGAGGATCGCTGCACTGATCCGAGCTGCTCAGACTCAGAGAGTGAGCGTTATCTTCAGAACAAGAGGAAGAGATTAAATGTGACACAAGGTGCTGAGCCGCAGCGTTGCTCTTTTTGACCTAATGGGGGTTAAAGCTCCATCTGTCACCAGACTATTATGTAGCCGCTTGATCCTTGTTACTAAGCCCACAGTGTGACATTTATGTAAGGCTCGGTCTTCATTTCTAATGACTTAAGTTCAGCCTGTATGAGGACACTGATATCTTATTGTATTTTCAGCAGAAATGCGTTTGGTTTGATCAGTCAAACCCTGAATCCTGGGTGTGGAGCGTCAGGCAGGACCAGCCCACTGGATCACTTTGGAAAATGTAAAGAAAGCTTCAGACTTTTCTCCAGTGTCACAGCTTTTCCTACTGATTTCCACTCATACTCGCTGCATAATTCAATTATAGATTTCTGTCATTTCAGACATTTTCTTCTCACAGTTTAGGCCCAACGAGACGATTTCTTTCATTTACTGCAGCTGCATTTCTGTAGCATGTAGTCAGACTCTGACACACTGTTGACATCGTGGCTCTTTTTCTTACATTAAGATGTCTCATTGATTAAATGTGTCGGTAATTCTCTGCACAGAAAGACTGTGCGTGGCTCGTGACGTAAAACGAGCTTCACGTCCCTGCAAATGTTTCCTCAGCAAAGTTTGATCAGTTCTGCTTTTAAATAAACTCAGTTCAGTTCAAATGAAATCGCGCGAGATTAGAAGCTGTCGCGTCAGAGCGGTTTGCACACGCAGTGTTACAGAGAGCGGGTTAACTCGGGGCTAGCCCCCCTCTGAGAATATGCATGCAAGTCATAGTGTGTATGAATCTGCGTGAAATATCTCACACATATCCATTTACCTTGTTCCATACATGTTGCCAGAAAACTCAGCGTGCTCAATGAACTCTCCTTTGTCGATACCCTCCTGCATGGCCTCCCTCGTTGTGAAGTGATAGTCTGTGGGGAGCAACGTGTGGAATGAATCGAGCTCTGCGTGGAAAACGATCTATCAAAGCAAAATCAAGCAGGAGCTCACTACAGTGTAGCAAAGCTGTCACGGTGTAACAGCCTGTCACAGCTGATCACGCGTGTCGGAGCCTAATTTCAACTGTGATTGTCATTCTCCACGTGTGTCCACACGCGACCCACAGACCCACACAGGGCAGTTTCAAAAGCAAACACGTTACTACGAAGCAATCATTACATGACAACATGAAGGAGTCAGACTGAAGCATCAGTTTGGAGAGAAACACTGTAAAACAACGAGATAATAAGCACGAGAACAGGTCACGGGGGATTTAAACAGCGCAAAGTGCGGATATTTCTGCTCATGTTAAAATCCTCGTTTATTAAAAGCTGGAAACCTGTTCATCACTCAGTATTAGTTTAAAGGACCTCGACTAAAGAATGCAATAAAATGGATGCAACAAGTTCTAAAAGGATTTTAAAAATAACCTTTTGTTCTCCTGCATGTTGCCAATGGTTGTTTGCATCTTGCCTATGGGGAAAAAGAGGAAATGGGAACACCAGTGTGGATCTAAAGACGTGTGGGAGTGGAAATGGGAATCACTGCTGAGGCATCACAGGGGGCTATTTTCAAAAGCTTGTTACTCCAAAGTGTAAACTGTCGCGTCTTCCTGAGGTCATTGTACTTTTTAAAAATATACATATTTACATGATTTTCAATTTTTTGACCAGTTCCTATTAATCCAATCACAACGTGCCAGGATGATGAAAGTAACCCCCATCCATCTGCGGTAAAAAATACACTGTGATCAGGAATCACACTGAGATCACCTTCATCTGTGGTTTCTGATTCATTTGGACATGAGGCTGACATTTCTATGTCCTCAGAGGATAAGACGGCTGCTACGGGCAGTAAAGTAGCCCCCAGAAGCATGGGGAGCTTGTTCAGTCCTATGGAGAAAACAAAAAAGGCACAGAGAGCTTTATCCCAAACCAAGGGAGCCTCACAGGGTGGCAAACCAGTCCTGCAGTTCACTTGGGAGTAAGAAGTGCTGTGGGTGTGGAGTGGGTGGGGGGAGGCTAGGAAACAAAATGAAAAGGAGCTTGTTTGTCAGATTCTCCACTTTTCTCCACTTTTATCTCAGCTCTGCAAGCTTAAATCCAGATGCAGGGCTGATGTTTTGTGATTGATCCTAACACAACGTGAAAGCACTAAACATGAGCACCCACTTAGAAAGTGCCAGCAACAAGCCGGGTTTCACTCATAAGTGTTGTACCTTTGCCATCTTCTTCTCCTGGTCGAGGGTTTCTCGTCGTGTCTGCGGGGAAAGAATTGCAAAAACATCAGTGTCAACTTTACAGCCGGTACTGGCAGGTGCAGAATTAGGCTGCTGCTTCCTCCTCAGACAACAGACCGGACGTTTTGCAAAGGAAGCCGAGCATCAGTTGGCACAAAAACGTACGTGAGACGCTGAATCCAAAGACTCCTTCGTGCTCTTTCATCAGCCTCTTCAACAGAGTGCTCTTCCCTGCTCCAGAGGGGCCACTCAGCACCACGGGCCTCGGTCCCGACATCGTCCTAAGAGCCACGGACGGACGCAGACGGGGGAAGAGGGATGTCTTAGAGATTTGTACAGACCAACACGTTTCACAGGCGGTGAGCTATGGTGTCTTTCAGGTGCTTTACCTTAATAATCTCCCCTTTTTCCTGTGAATCGCTGCTCCTGGCAAAAATCTCAGCTATCCCGTTTGCTCGTCTTAGGTGCCGTGAGGCTAAATCTTTTGATCCAAGCTTCTCGACACACCGTGGGGTTAAAAGCAGGCTGTTCCTCTCGTATCGCTGCTGTTGCAATCTAAGAATTAATTGACATTAATTTCTGTGTCCTTAATTAAAGCATCAAAATGCGTCCACGTCCTAATTGCTGACTGGTTAGACAGCCAGAGGCCTGGAGGTTAACACTAAGGATGCCTGTTAATGAAGCCGCGAGGGGTCAGTCAGCTGGGATAATTGGATCTGAGCCAGGTGGCGCTCAAGGTCCAGGACAGGTGAGCCGTTTACCTAAAGACCGGATGAATCCCGTTAACAGAATTACTTAATAACACAAAAATCTTCCCCAGCAGCAGGTTTACTCGGCACCTTGACTGAATTGATCAGTTCGAGCACTCTTTCATTCGCACACCAGCTGACTGCTGATGGGACCTCATCTACAGTTACATAGTTACTGAGGTAACTGCATCTACTGTTGGAGCGAACACACGAGCAGCAGGATAATCCACGGTCTGTTTATCACTATTAACACTTAGTTCTCATCATTTCATTTCCTGAAAAGATAACAACAGCTTATCTATTATTGTTTATTAACATCGTAACTCTGCACCTTTCCCTCCTAATTCAAAGAGCAGACACTGAATTTTCACTCTTTCACTCTATACTCATATAACAGAGCTGTTTTCTAATAAATGTGTCTGTATGTGCATGTAGGTATGTGTGTGTGTGCGTGTATATTTATATGTATGTGTGTTATGTATGGGTGTATCCGTATTTGCGCATGTGTGTGTATAACTTGTGCACAAGTATCTTTAGATACTTACATTATTGTGCATTAGGCACAACGGAGAGATGCCAAACTGTGTTTCATTGTTCTTCTAACAGTGACAATAAAGAGCTATTCTATTCTATTCTATTCTATTCTATTCTATTCTAATGTTTTACTCTCGTTTTCTTCGAGTTTTATCGACCTTACCTTTTGTCAGAGCGTCTCTGTGTGTGTCCTCTGTGTCGGAGGGACGTGGAGTAACAGATGATTGTGTGCGTGTGTGTGTGCGCGTGTGTGTCTCTGTCAGTCTGGATTATCACCGCCTCCCTTCAGCTCACTAACCAATCACGTCGGGGCATGCTGACTTGTTTTGAGAAAGTCTAACATAAATGTTTCATTTTTATTAGAATCTGATCAAATGACATTTACCTGGCTGCTGTACATTCAGGTTATACTAGGTTAACTATATTTTTCTTGATGATTAATTATTTGAATGAATAAAAGTTTTATGTGATATAAAATTATTGCTTCGTGTTTGTTGAGGATGAAGAATCTTTGTTTCTGAGTGTTTCGGGTCTTTCTTGGTCCTGTGTGTGTACTGCATGCAGACTTTGTTTCACAACCCCGCTCACTTCAATACGTGTGCATTCATCTTTGCCCGTCAGAAACTGGACTCGTCTCTTGCTCCACTCTACAGCGGAGGCGCATTGCTCTTTTACGTCTCTCTGTGATGTGTCTGAACCTAAGTGGCCTTGCAGTAAAGGCTCAGAATAGCAGGCTTTAGAGTCTTTCAACTCCAGATGAGCTGCGATGGGCTCTGCCTGGCTAATCCCGCAGCGACCCACTTCTTAAAGGGCGCACACTCGCCACCATAAGGCTGTCGACAAACGGCAACAACACAGGAATGCACGCCATTCACGCCTCGGCCCACACCTGCGGCAGGTGCAGCAGATACTCTTTAGGTGTTCACAGTTAAAAGCTTTCAGGAAACAACCGCCTTTAGACACAGATTTTATTTTAGTAATGTTGATAAAATTAGATTTGAGTGATCCTATACAAAGAAATACGCCAATAACAAAGACAGAACAAGTCCCCATGTGATGATTATTACTGTAAATGTTTCCAACCTACAAGAGCTAAACAAAGAATAAGTGATCTAAGCAAAGACAAACTCTGTACAGTAAAGTCTGCTAGTCAACATCCTATACACACACCACTCCAAACATACATACACAAAATTATGTACATGTGCTTTGCAGTTCAATCATCTTTCCATAAAACAGAAAAAAAAGATTTTTTAAAAAATCGATAAATAGTCTCAAAGCATTTTTTTCTCAGTGCCTGAGCTCTCAGATGGTTTCAGAGGTTTCTTCTGATCTGCTGGACGATGCAGTAGAAACACGGATATTGTACAGGTCAGAGGTCGCACTCAGTTAGTAGCTGTTAGGAGAACAACGATGGTAAGAAGGAGGAAAAGGAAGAGGGACGGGAGAGGGAAAGGTGGGCTTGCATGACAGGCCAGCTGCCCAACAAGTCCAAGCCTGATTGGTCAAAACAGAAGAAATCCCTGAAAGTGAGTCACAGGTAAACCCGCCTCAGGTCTCCAGGTGAGGTGATGGTGTTGCACTGAGGACACAGCTTCTTTGCTCCCTTTGAAAAAGAACGGCGAGACTTTTATTACAGACTTTTACTTTGTTCTGGATGTTTTGCATCATTTTTACGTTCAGCTTTTTACCAGCGTTCGAAGCCAACACTCCTCACAGTGAACATGCCAGCACTGGATGGAGGTGAGCGGCGTTGTGTAGGTGTCCTGCACACAGGAACAGGCACAATACAGGTGAGCAACGTTTACCTGCAGTGCGACAAAGCTGCCACTAGGTGTCCACATGTAACTACAATCAGAGCTTTGGAGGAAGCGACTTGAATGTTTGTTGGGATTATCTCTCATTTATTCATCTCATTCATCCCACTGTGATATTTTACTTTGTAACTGATTTTTTTTTTTTTTTCAAATTTAAATCACAACAAAATATTTAACTTGGAAAAAAAAGCCATGCAAAAAATCTGTTCATTACTAATTAATTATATATTTCCAATAATTAATCACTTACATTTTTACATGTAAAATAATAGAAACAAATAAATTGTCTCAGACTGGGGTCGACTTTGAAGAGCAGCGTGTGGTGCATTTGGGCTAAATAAATATTTGAGTGAATAATTGTTCAGTGTTTTGATTCTTTCCGTGTAAAATGGGTCAGTATTTAAAGGAATAAATGTCGCAGAGCTTTATCAGATGCAAACTGTAATATTTGTCGTGTGTATCAAACAGTATTAAGGTCATCTGCAGTACAGTCTGATCATACGAGGAGTCGCAGACAAACATTTTCCATAAAAATATTACTGTATTTATTATGTTAATGAAGAAACAAACATACACCAACAGTTTGAAATTGTGCTCTTTTCTCTTTTGCTTTAATTTGCCTCCACACTCACCATGCAGATGAGACATTTAAATCTGTCTCCTTTAGACAGCTGTTTCTCCAAGTCCCGTATCCGAGCCTTAAGTGCATCTAATGTTGTCAGCGTGGAGTCCTGCGAGAGCCTGTGCGCGTGCGCGCGCGCACACACACACACACACACACACACACACACACACACACACACACACACACACAGGAGGACGAGAGGGAGGACACACGAGTTAGGCAGACACTGGAGAGTCATTTATAAATCGAAGACAGATTAAATTATTCGCTGGCCAACATGGACACTGAGCATGAAATTTAGCAGCAATCACATTGCCTGCATTGGGTGTCTCATTTATCATGGGCAGCGGGGCGGGGGTTAGGTGTCAGCGTCCTCACAGAAATAGACATACACGCGCACAATTACAGCATAGACTCTATATGCAAACATACTGTACAGATGGGATGCAATGCATTCAGCGCAATGAAACGTGTACACGCCTGCATCACCTGCTAAGACCCTGACTGACGACATCATCACACTGATATAGTGTGGTATTATGTGCTGGTGAGAGCAGGCGGTCCGAACAGGTATGGCATAAATACAGAGGACCAGGATACAGAGGAATGGCTTCCTCTGGTTGGCTGATGGACCAAGTGCATGCTGGGATAAGCAACAGCTGGATCAACCTGCCTCCACGACGTCAAACTTTAATTTGAAGAGGCACAACTTTGGACATGGCAGCTGACCACGTCTCCTCTCATGTCTCCAGAGTTACCGGCTCAAAAATCCATCAAATACTCAACAAAGACGGATTCTTTCACTTTGACTGAAAGTCAGTTCATGGGCTCGTTGGCAACTTGAACAAAGTGTGTCAGACTTGCTAAAAACAAACCATTAATTGAACCATTTATGAAATTTGGGTTTAACAAATGTTGGTCCAGAGTGCAGGAAAGCATGAGCCCGCAGCAGGGAAAAACGATTGACCTTTAACCTCCAAAACTTCATTTTTTATTCATGTTTATCGAACCTTCTGACATGTTTTAACCCTTTAAATCCTGAACCATAATAACTCCCTGAAATCTTTCATTTTTTGATAACGGACAGTTTGTTGGTCCTTTAGACAAAAGTCTTAATCGGCATGTGAAAGTTTTAATTTGCTACATGAGCCATGTTTTTGCAGTTTAGTCATTAAAAATGTTTCATGCAATTTATATCATTTTTTGAGGGTAAAAAAAAATCACGCTGATGATGTCACAAAAACACACGTGTGAAATATGATACGCTGGGCTTTAACAGAAATTTGCAGATATGAGTTTTAGACTTTTTTATTGCTTAAAAATGTATTGTGCACTTTATTTAGATGGGGGGGGGGCACACTGATGAAGCCTGATACACTCACAGAAACATTTCTGCTGTACATGACAGAGTAGGCATGAAAGAGTTAACGACATAATGGATTAAAGGCAAAATACTCTTTGTTTACTTCTTTTTCCAATGAAAGTTTTCATTCAAATTTGTTTATATGGCGTCAAATCACAACAACAGTCGCTTCAATGTGCTTTATGTTGGAAGGTGAAAACCCAACAATCAGACCTTTGTATGAATAAGTGCTTGGCGCCAGCGGGAAGGACAAACTCCCCGGGCTGCGACCGGCTTTAACAGTCTCTCAGTTTGTGTATAAATCTGTTAAACTGCAGATCTAACAAACTCACATCTCTATCTCAGCGTTTTTGCAGGTTTGAGTGAGACCGGCTGCACTGCCATCCTGTTTCTCTCCACTGCTTGTAGACGGACTTCCTGGATACACAAACCAATGAGCAGATTACAGTTACATCCATAGTTTTAGGAACTGTGCTCAGCTGCCTCATTATTCCTAACTCACCATCATTTGACCATTTATTAAAGTCCAAGTTTACTCTGGATTCAGGCGGCACGCTGCTGCTGTTGCTGCTGAAAACAAACCAAAGTATATTTACCATCTGAAAGCATCTGAAACGGCTTTGAAATGAATTTAGTTCATATTTATCTAAATGAATACCGAGTGATCGTCACACATCACGGATACGTACTTCACTGCCGTCTCTTTGGAGCTTTCTCCCGAACAGGGAATCACGTCTGTGTCTGTGTATCTGCAAACGAAGTCAGGAGAAAAATACAGCAAAGTGTGGGAGGAAGAACTTTCTCCATGTGCGCGTATATCCCAGTCCCCCCACTTTACTGTAAACGCATTAACATTAACATGCTGTTTAGCGTGCACGCTGGCGTTCTCTTCAGAAGGATACTGTGCCCGACCGTACTCCAGCGTGTCATCTCCGTCCACGTCCAGGTCTGCATCGCTGTCTCGACACTCCTTAGAGGTGGTGCTCACCAACATTGCACCTGGTGACACAGATTCAAATGGGAATCAATGTTAACAGCCACGTTAGTGATGAGGAAAATGCGACGTTGCCCGTGTATCTGCTGTGACTGCGCCTGTCAGTCAGTTTCCAGGTCAGAGCTGCTCCTCACGCCAAAGAAGCGGTTACTCTTAAGCCAACCTCCCAGGCATCCTGCTGCGCCGTAATCTGGACTGAAAAGTTCAGCGCTTCTTCAGCTGCCACTCAGTCACAGTATTCACCCTCCACTGAACAAGATCACACACGTGGGTACCTCAGTGGTGCACACACACGCGCACACACACGCGCACACACACACACGCGCGCACACACACACACACACACATTCACTTACCTTTAAAGCCTATAGACGCCATCTGTATCCTTCTCCTCTCATTCCAGTCGTCCTCCAATGCCAACAGGTCTGCCGACCCCTCCTGAAAACAACGCCGCGCACACACATGACACATGTACACACAAAGACACACATCGGGTCACATGTTCTCTGTCTGGACGAACACGCCCATATTCAATTCAATTCAATTTCAATTCAATTTTCTTTTATTTATATAGCGCCAAATCACAACATAAGTCGCCTCAAGGCGCTTCATATGCCTCCTGTAGCCCGGAGCTACATATCTGCCTCACAGCCGTGAACCGGCGCTCGCGGCGCTTTCACGTGGATACACAGCGAGCTGACAGTGATCCGTGCGCCACGTGAACAAAGCCAGGCAACAACGTCTCGGGGTTCAAGGTCAGCGTGTCACACGTTACATATATTCATCTCTGATTACAACACAAATGTCAGGGAAACAAATACTTGCATCTGACTCGTGTGCTTGGAGAGCCTACCTGTGCTTCCTCTGGTTTTCTCCTCTTCAGCTTTCCCATCCTGACTGAACACAGAACACACAGAAGAAATACTGTTAATAATGGTTAAAGGGGACGAGGCATTAGCTTTGGGGTTTAAATCAACACCATCAAACAAGTCGCATGATTTTTAGTAACAGTATTGAATTATGTGTAATGAATAACTGGGGTATAACTTATTTGTTCCTGTACATAAAAACGTGCGAGTTTGAGTCGCTGTTCCATCTAAAGAAGCCGAGCTTTGTCCTAAACTGTGATAGGAGGTCACCGAGCTGCGTGAAGACTAACATGACCACGGGTCATTCAAACAGGTTCACACTGAGCCCAGAGCAAAAGAAAGACAAGCAAAAAATATTCATATTAATATTTACAGCTCTATTTATTACCTCCATATTATTATATTTTTATTTAAATAAAAGATAAAAATACTGATAAATAACAGGATAAATTATGCAAAGACTACACTGTGAGTCAGCAGCTAAAAGTAGTGCATGAATGGTTCAAGCTCCCAACGTCCTGCACTCAACACTTCACATGCAAACAGTGAAGAAAGCGAACAGTGGTGGAAGAGGTACCGACAGCTTTCACTTCAGTAGTAAAACCAGTGTGGAAGTATTACAGGTAAAGTTCTGCTCTCACACAATAAATCCAGTCAAAGTGTTCATGAAATAAATGAATAAATAAATATGGGGCTAAGTTTTCTTTTCCTTTCAATATTAGAGCCTCACCTTTATAAATGATGTGTCATGTATTTAATTTAATCTTAAAGGAACAAAAAGTCATGATTGTTCATGTGCAGACAGAGGAAACACTCAAACGCAAAATTCACCTGCTTGTGGAAACCGTCTCGTTCACTTCTAATAACTTCCAACATTTAAAAGCCGGAAATATGGATGCGACACTGAAAACTACTGAGTTCTGTTTCTGTGTGAGCTCACTCCACAAACTGTACAAGCTGGCCGCATTGATGCACGAGGCCCTTAAAGCAGAGACCGGCAGATGCTTCGCGTGGACAGAAGCTGCAGTACGGGATTCAAAGCGGCCCCCCCGTCCCCGTGCTGTCATCCCGCCGTCCTCCCCCGCTTTCCTCTCTAAAAATATGAAAGCTAACATGGCAGAACACCAACTGAACCTCCTCTCCTCTCCCTGCCCTGACTGACTGCAGATTGCAAAAGGGGACATTACGTTTTAAGGCCCTCTAATTCCCTGCTGGATGACAGTGGCCCCCGAGGGGAACGCACGGCGAGCCGGTGGCTGTGACCCGAGTGCCGCAATCCCAGCAAACATAATGAGGGTTAAAGAGACGGTCATAGATGAGGAGGAGCTCATCAAACTACGAAGACAGAGGGAGAGAGAGAGGGAGAGAGAGAGGTTGATTAATCAACAGAGGACCCCCCTCCTCCTCCTCCTTCCACTCTCTTCTTCTTCCTCCCTGACGTGTATTTAGAAGCTCATTATGCTGTCCGGTTATAAGGCCCAATAAAGGCTAACAGACCTCGACAGCAGTGGCAGTTTGAAGAGTCAGCTAAGAGCTGCAGAGTCTCCGCGGGAATAATAACGGGAGCAGGAAGTCTGCGGCATCAGCCGCCGCCGGGACGCTGCGCAGGTTTCTGTATTCGTGCAGAAATGCTGTCAGCCTACTTTCAAACATGCTACATGCTATCATTTATTCATTTATTTAGAAATGGCTGGAAACTGTTCAGGGCTGAGTTTCTGTTACAAGCTTCTGTGGAAAAGAACCAGAAACAAGTGCTGATCTGGTTACTGCAGATCTACAAAGCCTTCATTTGTCTCTTAGCGTGACGCACGGCGCGAACACCATCATAAGCTCCGCGGCTGAGCCGTAACGGTAACTACCCGCACGCTTCAGAGGAGAAAATAGTTCCTACGTGAAACATTTACACAACACTGTTTGTGGGTTTTTGTGTGAGAGTAACAGTGTCAGAAATCTCAGTACGTGCCTCTCCCTACCCCCGCTCGCAGCAGATGGCCCCGCCCCTCCCTGAGCCTGGCTCTGCTGGAGGTTTCTTCCTGTTAAAAGGGAGTTTTTCCTTCCCACTGTCGCCAAAGTGCTCACAGGGGGTCTTTATCTTACAATGTAAAGCACCCTGAGGCAGCAGTTTTTGTGATTTATAATGAAATGCGTTTGTCATTGGGAAACATGTTTTTTAGATTTTTATTAAAAAAAGCAGCTCAGGTGGAATAAATATTAATCTGGTATCGTAAGGATGTTTCACATTTCATGAAAAGTTTTTGAGACACTTGAAAAGTCAATAGCAGCTATTTCAGGATTAAAAGCATGAACATAATTATATCCATTCAACTAAATAAATACTGACTGATTAGTGAGCTGATGTACTAGTGTCAGAGGTTATAAAATAGGAAAAAGTAGAAATGAATAAAATAAATGTTTCTTGTGTGTGTGTCGAATCCTCAGTGAAAAATGCTTCTCAGTGTTTCTTACCAGCTTGTGCGCAGTCTAGGTGGGCTCCTGCGCTGTGGGGGCGTAATGGGGCAGATTTGACGTAGCACCTGCACCAGCAGAGGTCATCGACTGTTAACATATCAAGGGGTCAAAGTTTAAAGGTTAATAGCTCCTCTGCTCGTGGGGGCGCTAGGCCAGCTGAGATGGTGTGGGAAAAGAGGTGATATCTGAATGACTGGTGAGGGTGGGGACGACGAGCGTGAACAAAATATCTTTTTCATCTTCTCAACTTTACGGCGTGACAGTCGCCTGGTCTGGACTCTGAACCACAAACTGAGTGTGCGGCACAGAAACACAACATTCGGTCCACGTGGATCAACGTACCGTTTAACCTGGTGTGTCTGTTGGCCCGGACGCGGAGAAACGTCTGCAACAGAGGAGAAAACAGCAAAAAAACTGTCCATAAAAATAGAAAATGCTGTTGGAGGAAGCTGTCACGGAAAAAAGAGACTTAATTATGCAGGTAATGTTTGTGCCGTGATCTGAACGCTGCCGCTGTGCTTCTCCGTGTTCACATCACTGTGTGTCTGCTGCTCTTTGTGAAGATGCTGCGTAGGATAGATTGCACAGGATTGATGAAGCTGTTAGTTCTCGTTCTGAGGGTCGAACGCTGCCTTCGTTCTCACAGATATGCACAAGCTGTTCTTTGTCGCCTGTGTTGTGATCACAGGAGATGAGTCTCACTTCCTACCCGCTGCAGATGGATACTTGTAAAGGCCTCACAGCATCACACAGGCTGAGTATTTCTAACTTAGACATGCGCGCATTTCAACCCAATCCTTAGAAACTAAAGCAGCAAAAGGAAAACAACAACTTTATATTTTTGTGAGGTCAGCGGCACAAGGATGAGACCCCGTTGGGTTTCATAAACTGGTAATTGTAAGGTTTGATTTAATGCCTTACAATATGTTCATTACAATGCACTCTTTAAAATCCTACCTGGTATCGGTCAGAGTGGGCCTCCTCGGCCGGTCGAGGGGGCGAGGTGGGCGAACTTCCCTCTCGCTTGATGTGCAGGGACAGTGAAAGAGGCTGGAGCCCGAAAAAGAAAGAATCAAGTCAAAGGCAGGACGACGGCTACTGACCGACTTCCTGAATGTGGTGAAAACATCACAGCTACGTGTACCTTTGGCGTCCTTATGAAGTGGTCGTGCTGGACCGGAGTTGCACTATAATAACACAGAAGCTCGTATGTTAAACCTGTTTTTACTGTGCATAAGTCAACAACACAATGTGCCCACAAAACCTACAAACACAATATTGTGTTTTAAATGTCATCTGGTGAACAACCTCTGCTCTTATCTTGTCTGGATATGTATCCGAGTCCGTGTGTAACCTCATTTTACTCCTTCTCACATTGTGTCTGTCACACGGATACTGTAGACACACACACACACACACACACACACACACACACACACACACACACGCACACACACACGGTGTCCCCGTGGGCCAAGTTCAATTTGAAACCATTACTGTCCACGGAGCGGTCGTTAAGCAGATTTGGAGTGTAATGCCTTTATTGGAGAAATCATTCTTCTGTTCTAAGCAGCAGGTAATGTGTGTGTGTGTGTGTGTGTGTGTGTGTGTGTGTGTGTGTGTGTGTGTGTGT